CAAAGTGCCATCCACCCCCACGGTGACGGTGAACTGCTCCAGGCCGCGGCTTTCCCGCATCTTCTCCACCACGGCGGCCATCCCCGCAGCACAGAGGTGCGCGGCGCGCAGAGACACGGTCTGGCACACCTCCCGCACCAGCACACTGTCCTCATAGCTGGCGTCCAGCTCCAGGTTGCTCAGGATGCCCTGCACCTGCACTAGGGCCAACCCGGGGCTGCCCCCACCCAGGGCTTCTGTGAGCAGCGCTGTCACCGTCCCCAGGCGGCGTCCCCTCTTGGGGTGCTGCCCGGAGACCTGGGCTACGGGAACACGTGGGATTGCGGCACTTACGTCTCAATGGTGGAAAGGAACTTGGTCTGGAAGATGTCCCTGTTCTGCAGCTTGTGGGACGACTTGCCGCAGAACAGGACCCGCTCCTCCACCAGTGCCAGCAGGATCTGCCGTACGATCTCACCCAGGTACATGCCGCTGATGAGCTTCTCAAACCTGCCCCGGGCACAGCCCTGCTGCCTCGGTGCCCCCAGCACCCCGTAGCACGCTGCCCACCCCACAGCCATCACCCACTTCTGCTTGCCCGCATTGATGCTTTTCTCATCCACCAGACGGTCAAAGCTGGTGAAGAAGTCATCCAGGCAGCCGTTGTCCCCAAAAGCGCCCCACTCCATGTTGATGCACATGCGACCCTCATCCCCATCCATGGTGCCCACCTTCGCCCTCTCTTCCATGTAGCAGGCGTTGGTCCCTGTCCCTGCAATCCAGCACCAGTGTCTCTCACCAGACCCAGCCAGGTACCCACGGCCACACGGTATGGGGTGAACTGTGGGGAACCCCAGGGGGGGCAGAGGTGTTCCTCACCGACAATGAGGCCAATTTCACATTTGGGGTCATGGTAGCCACAGGCCATCATGGTCCCCACAGTGTCATTCACCACAGCCACCACCTTCAGCGCCGTGTGCTGCAAACAGGAGATGGGGACATGTGGCTCAGCAGCACTGACGGCTGTCTGGTGTCACCAGCGGGGACACCACCCCACCACCATGGTGGCACCACCGGGCTCAGGGGACAGATCCCCCAGCTCTTTCCCACCTGTTTGCGCTGTGCAGCTTCCCGCAGCATCTGAACCACATCCTGCCCTACGCAGCCAGAGGCACTGAAGCCTTTGGTCCAGTTCAGCAGCACAGCCTGCAGGGAGATGAGCAGGGCAGCCCCTGTGGGCAGCATCCCACCCCAGCACCCTCCCCACACCCCAAGGCTGGAGCTGCCCCCTCACCTTGTCCAGGCCCAGCTGCTGGCAGGGGAAGGAGAAGGTGAAGCCAAGCGGCAGGACCTGACCCATCAGCTCCTGCTTCATCTGGAAGTCCATGATGCAATCCATGATGTGGTTGAAGAGCTGTGGGGAGAGACTGCAGTCAGAGTGGGGGGATACAGGGTGGGGGATCTCTCCCACCCCATGTCTGGTGGCACAGAGGTAGCTCCCATCCCTCGCCCTGTCCCTGCGTGCTGCCCCACCGCCTCGCCGGTGCCCTGCATGACAGCTGTGGGGATGACGTAGATTTCATTGGTGATGTCGATCTTGTCCTCTGCCACGTGCACCACCAGCACACGGAAATTGGTCCCTCCCAGGTCCAGCGCCAGGAATTTTCCTCTCTCTGTGAGGAGCGTACAGGGGAAGTAGGACCACAGAATCCCCAGCAGGGTCTTTCCCTACTGTACCCCATCCCTCACCGGTGCCGTCAGGTGTGTGGCACACATAGGTGGGCAGCATGCGGAGGGAGGACTCAGCGTTTCTCTCCCGGTCCAACCCGCGCTCCATCTCCTGTCTCATCAGTGCCTGCACGCGCTGCAGGTCGGCACGGCTCAGTCGCAGCGGGGCCAGCAGCCGCTCCACCTTGTTCCGCTGTGCCACCGTGCGCAGAGCCACCGCCGTCACCATGGCCCCCCCCAGCCCGCTGACATCGGCCGAGGGCATGACGTTGGCCGCGCACTCGGGGGCCAGCAGCCCCACCACACTGCGCAGGATCTCTCCAAACCTACAGGCAGGAAGAGGCCGGTGAGACCAGGCATGAGGCACCTTGTGGCCAGGAGCCCGATGTCCCCTCACCTGGTGCTGGTGTGGTACAGCCCGCCATCCACCCCGACGTTGACCACCAGCCGCTCCAGCTGCCGGCTGCGGCACATGTGGCTGAGCACAGCCGCCAGCCCCGTGGCACTGAGCGCAGCAGCACGGCTCACCGCCGCCCGGCACAGCTGCTGCACCCGACAGCAGTCCCGCTCGCTGGGCTGCAGCCCCAGAGCCTCCAGTATGCCCTGAGCCTTGGCCATGCCATCCTCGTTGCTGCAAAGGACAGAAGTGTGCTGGCTCGTGGAGCTGATTGCTTGGGGAGCAGGCACCCACCCGTGGCTCCGGGCACTCACTCCATGATCTCCAGGACCTGCTGGGTTGTCAGCACAGCTTTGGTGGCCAGGATGGAGGTGTTTCTCCCGATGAAGAGTGCTTGCTCGGAGGCCAGCATGAGCATGGCGTGCCGCACAATCTCCCCCAGATACAGGCTGCCCACCAGCTTCTCAAACCTGTGTGCGGCACGGAGTCATCCCCCTCCCTCGGCACAGCTCTCAGCCCTTTGGGAGCAGCACAGTGGCAGGGCACAATGTGCCCATGGGGAGCCCCAGGACCCTTTTCTAGCGGCACACCTCCTCTCCCCAGGGTTGGAGGACTCCCGGTCCACACGGTGATCATAGGGGGTCAGCACATCGTCCAGTGCGCCGTCGTCCCCCAGGCAGCCCCACTCACTGTTGACACACATCCGCCCGCTGGTCACCTCTGCCATCTCCAAGAGGTGTGACTCAGCCATGAAGCAGCAGTTGGTGCCCGAATCTGCAGGATCGAGGAGGGCTGAGCATCACCACAGCCCCCAGTCCCATCACAGCCCACAGCCCCGCTGCTCACCCACAACCAAGGCGATCTCACAAGGTTTCTCCCGTGTGCTGCACGTCATCATGGTGCCCACCGTGTCGTTCAGCAGGGCCACAACATCCACGTGGCAGAGCTGTCCAGGAGTGTGGCACCATCAGCTCCTCTGTGTGGGGCAGCCCACCCAGCCGGGACCCCCACCCAGCGCCCACCTCCTGCTTGCTGATGGCCGCCTGCAGCAACTGCACCACATCCTTCCCCTCCACGTCGGTGCATTGGAAGCCCTTGGACCAGGAGATGAGTTCTGCCTGCAGAGAGCACGTGGATGAGGCATCGTCCCCCAGCACAGCGGGGAGCAGATGTGGTTGCAGCACAGGGCCAGCCTCACCTTGTCCAGTCCCATCTGCCTGCAGCTGAACGGAAAGATGAAGCCCAGGGGCAGGCGGTGCTGGGGGTTGCCAATTTCCTCCAGGAAACTCTTCACGCATTGCGCGATGAAGTCAAAGAGCTGTGAAGGCACGGCACGAGTGGGCAGCTGCTCTCCTACCCAAGAGCCCCCAGCGCAGTGCCTGCCTCCTGTACCGCCTCCCCGGAGCCCCGCGGGATGTCCTTCGGCATCTCAAAGACGTGGTACATCAGCTGTGGGCTCTGGTTTCCGTCGCCCGTAAGAGTAACCCAGAGGGTGCGGACATGGCTCTGGCACAGCTCTGCCACCAGCACGTCGCCGCTCTCTACAGAGGAGCACAGATAGGCAGGATCAGGCAGACCGCGGCTCCCAGCACCACAGCCGCTCCCTGCGCCATCCCCGTGACACCCGCCCGTGGTGGGGCGGCGGTTCCCAGCAGGAACCACCGCAGGGCCCGAGGGAAGGGCTCCCAGCCTCACAGGGCAGCTCCTGGCCCCGTGAGCAGCACGAGGATCCCACACCCGCCCCTGGCACCGCATCCGACAGAGCCGTCTCACCGGTGCCATCGGGTGTGGAGCAGATGAAGGTGGGCAGCATCCGCATGGTAGAACGTGCCCCGCTCCGCTGGCTCAGCCCCTGCTCCAGGGCCTCCAGCACGCGGCCCTTCACCTCCTGCAGCTTCTCCAGCGTCGGGGTGAGAGCCAGCAGCGCCCGCTGCACCTGGGGGCGGCTCGTTAGGGCTGCGGACACCTCACCGTGCACACGAGGCACGGACGGAGCTTACCGGCGTGCAGGAGGGGCCCCTGTCCTGAACTCCCAGCTGGATGCTCCCCGGGGGCCTGCACAGAGGGAGCAACGGCAGCGCTGAGCCCCGACTGAGACCCCGCACCGGGGCTGGGGGTCCCCACCCCGGCTTGTGCCTCCCCACCTCCCCTCCGCATCCCAGCTGCACGCGTCCACAGCACTGAGGCTTTGCGGTGTCCCGCGGTCGCTGTCCCGACCCGGCAGCCGGGGGTAGAGGGCACAGCTGTGCCCCACGATGGCGAAGGGGCCGTCGTTGGGGCCGAGCGCCGAAGGGTGCAGCTCCCACATCACCGTGCCCACGCACCTGCAAGAGGCCGGAGGGTGGTCCGTCCCCGGGGAGGGGGCGTTCAGACCGTGGCGGGAGGGGGGGAGGGGCACAAAGGAGGGACCCCGCTCGCTCCCCGCCGCCCACCCCACGGCCCCTCACCGATTCAGGACGGGCATGGGGGGCAGCCGGCCTCTCCGCTCGGGGCCCACACCCCGCCACGGAAAGGCGCTGAAACTGCGGGCGGGGGCACCGCGGTCTCGGGGGCCGGGCATGGCGGGGGTCCGGCGGCGTCGATGGAGCGGGATGGGGGGAGGGCGGTTGCTAACGCCGCTGGCCGTTGCCTCGGCAACAGATGCAGCGCTCGAGGCCCCCCCCCGCACGCCATTGGGCGGCCCGCACCGCCCCCGGCCAATGCGGGCCCAGCGCCCCGCGAGCGGAACGGAGACGGCGGGGACGCGGGGCGCGCGGGGCGAGCTGCGGGCCGGCAGCCGGCGGTTCCCCCGACCCCCTCCCGTCCCTCCCCGTTCCTCGGAGAAAAACGGCACCGCTCCTCCGTCTCTCGCCGCAGTTTCATAAAAACATACATAAATATATTTCCATTTCTTGACCAGAGAGCGCGGCGGCACCGGCACCTATAAAACACGCAGTCCCTCCTCCCCGGCGCTCCTGCGCCGGTCGTACAAAACGTAGAAAAGAGGGGAGGAGGGCCGAGCTCAGAACTTGCGCTTCCTGCGGCGGCCGGCACGGGCGGGGGGGGCGGGCGGCGGGCTGCCCGGGGGGGGGGACGTCAGGAGCGGGGGGCAGCAGGGAGCACGCGCTGTGCTCGGCCTTCTCCTCATCCTCGGCGCCGTGTGGCAGCGCGCTGGGGTTCCGCTGGTCGTCTATTCCAGGGATGTGGGTCCCCGTGTCGGCACCTGCAATGGGAGCGTCGATCAGCCTTGGGGCAGCATTGCTACCTTCAGAGAATCACAGAACGGCCAGGGTTGGAAGGGAGCTCAAGGATCGTGAATCTCCACGACCTTCCCAAAAGCAGGCGCTCTGGGGAGCCCCGTGAGCACTCTGGGTACTGCCACGCGTCCTGCGGGGATGTGGAACAGAGCCTCAGCCCCCAAAGGATGCTTCAGGAGCATCCCAGACCTCAGAGCCACCCACCCACAAAGAGAGAGAGAGAGGAGAAGGGATGTTGTGCAGCCCTGAGCCAGCTGGCAGGCACAGCAAGCAGATTCCCACCTGCAGACTTGCTCTCCGAGAGCTCCAGCACGCTGAGGAGTCCCCTCTTGTGCCTTGCCACAACCTGTCAAGGGAGAAGAGAACACTGTCACAGCACTGCTGTGAGGGGCCCATCCACTCTGAGTGCCCATGCAGCACAGACCACGGGGCAGCCCTGCAATAAGGCAGGTGCTGGTTAACAAAGCAGAGCCCTGTAAAAGAGCAGAGCCACAGCCAGATGAGCAGTGCACAGAAGGGCACTCCTAAGCGCTCCTAAGGGCACTTCAGCCCTGCTGGCCCAGCGAAGTCCCCTCTCCTGACTGCTCCCTGCCCCAGAGGGCACTGACATCCTCGCTGCTGGGCTGGAGCTGCTGAGCACACCAGAATGGGCTGTGGCAGGAACCTGCAAGCCCGGTGCTGCCACCAGGAAGCTCTCCCATAGTGTGACCTGTTTCCCACTGAACTCCCACCTCAGCACAGGGCAGAGTCACAGGGGACCCAGAGCCTTGCCAAGCCGTCTCCAAGGGCCTCTGGAACTGGCACCATCCCCAGTGGCCACGGGCAGCAGCCCCACACTCCAGGTGGCCACGGGGCACAGGGATGGAGTCAAACAGCTCCCAGAGCCAGTCACATGCACGGGCAGCCATGCCACAACAGTTCTCAGAGCCACACAGTGCTTGGCTGTATCCCAGCCAAAATCATCAACCAGAAATCTCATCATTTGCATCCGAATCCCCAAAGGGCTGAGGCCTGTGATGGATTTAAGGGATTATACGAAACTAAGACATCATGTTGCATCTTCATGCTGAGAATCACATTTCTGAGTGCAGGCAAAGCTGCTGTGTGAGGGATTTGCCGGCAGGAACCAGTGGGAAGGCTGCAAGGACCCTCCCTAGGGGCTGCCACGAGCAGGAGCCGAGCACAGTGGGGACCAACACCTGGTGAGGGACCGCATGCCAGCTGCTGCCTGCAGGGCTCCTGCTCCACCCCCAGCACGCCTCCCTGCAGCTCTCCTGAGATGCTCCAGACACCGAGTGGCTCTTCCCACTTTGTCTCCAAAGCCTTCCCCATGGAAGGGGATCACGGACAGATACGCCCGTCACTCTGACACTGCCCTCCACGGTGTCTCTATTCAGCTGAGGAAGGCTGCAGGACCGTGGCTGCTGGCAGCGGGGCTGGCTGGCTGGCTGCCTGCTGGAGAGCTTGCTGGCAGCTCCGCTGGATTAGCTCACCCCTGGGAACAGGGACACGGCTCCTGCTGGCAACCCGGCCCCAAACCCAGTGCAAAGCAAAGGAGACAGTCTGCAGGGTTGCCCCTCACCTTGGTGCTTCGCAGCCTCCTGGTTCCCTGAGCTTGCCTAGCAGCCTGGAGGCAGCTGTCCACGTGCCTCTGATATTGCAGCAGTGGCACCAGTGACTTACAGAGGTAGCACTTCTCACACCTGCCAGGCAGGAAAGGACAGAGCACCGCATTAGGATTCACCCTGCGCTGGGCTCCCAGCCACCAGCAGTGACTTTCCTCCTCTGGACCGCGCCACTGAAAGATGTGTCACCAGATCGGGGCTGGCTCAGTGGGGTCAGGCCGGCACCAATCACAAAGGCTGAGTGATTATCGGTTTTCCCTGCCTGCTCCTCTGCATCCTGCTGCTGCAGCAGCGGGACGGTAATCAAATCTGCTCATCTAACTATCTCCAACACTGCTGATTTCTCCCCAGACATAAAGCACCCTGTCAAAATCCACAGAAATGAAGTGCGAGGGCTTTGCAAAAGGGAGGTAAATTCTGCCTGAAAAGCAAACCGAGTGTGTTAAATCAGAGAGACGTGTTACCAGGGCTGGATGAACTTGTCTGACTAGTAAATCAAGTCCTTCTCTGCACTGTCTCCATTTTCCAACATGCCATAGCACACACTCCTGCTGCAGGTTGGCACAGGTGCCCTCTCTCTTGCATCGTGCTCCTCAAACCCCCTCATTTGTGCAGAAGATGCCCAGGCTCAGGAAAACCGAGTGTGCCTAGGGAGAAAATCAGCCTGGGTGAAAGGAGATGGAGGTCAGGCTTGGATTTACACAGCTACAAGCACTGCCACACCAGCTCTCAAGAGGGGACCATGCCATGCAGAAAAGGGCACTGGTTCTTCAGGAGAGCATCCACCTGCGGTGCTGCTCAGGAATGGACCAGGAGCCCCAAGGAGCAGCCCCAGCAGCATCGTGTTCAGTTTGATAAGCAGCTCTCTCCCAGTAAAACTCACTCCAGGCTCCAAAATGCATATGGAGAGCCCCCATCGAGCAAAACTCTGCAGTACTTTCCCCATATTTTCTTTCCAGTCAGTGCTGATTACCCAGATAATGTGTCTAAACAGAAGCTGTCCTCTCTATAATTAGCCTAATTCCATTAGTGATGTTGCCATCCACTGTTTGTAACAGCAAAATTGCTTCCATAGCAGGGATTTTACTGTCAGATCCTCTCTTATGATGCTTTGTGTGGGTGGCAGGAGGAGGGGCTGCATGGGAAGAGATTAAACAAAGCCACTGCTATTCTGAAAGTCTAATTTAATTAAGAATATCACTACAGGTGCCATGTTGACAGCCTCCCCGTCCAGGCCTCCTCTTTTCTCAGGGTTACTGAGCTCCAATCCCCCATAAGAAACCAGCTGAGTTGGCAGCATTTTAACTGCAGCTCCCCCACAACAGTCAGAGACCACGCACCCTGACCCACCGTGCAGTGGCTGGAAGGAAATTATTGCCAAAATAAACAATCTGAGAACAGCAAATTTCTTTTGTTTTGATATAAACATACATAGCACTGCGACAAGAAGCAAAGGCAGCTTCTTAGGGAGCAAAGGCAGTTTCTTAGGGAGCAAAGGCAGTTTCTTAGGGAGATAACACTACAAGGCCAGCATTTACACGGGGACAAAGACATTTCTGCAGGGACAAGGCAGAACTGGGGCACAGAAACAATGTTGGAGGAGCAGCATACCTACTTACTTGTCAGAACCTGAGGGCGTCTGGCTGCTTTCACCACCTGCAGCTTTACTCTGTGACTCTCTCCGACCCCGCGTGAGCACTGGAAGCAAAACAGAAATGGTTACTGCCATCCATCCCCAGCCACCCTGCAGGATGTCCAAACACAGCACCTTTCAATCTCTTTCACTCAGCACTGCAGTTGAGCGATGCAAAGCGAGACAACTACTGGACTGGGATGGGCAGGTCTTCCTTCCAGCCAAGGGGCAGCTGGACAGTTTTCACAGGGATATGTAAGAAGTCATCTTCCAGGCCTTGGAAGACAGCACACCGTGTCACAGTCCAACCTGTCCTCTGACAGAAACTGCTGAACCAACAGCACACAGCTCACGGTCATTTTAAAGTTGACACACAGCAGCACAACAGCCTGGGAGAGGAGATGCCCCACTGCTCCAGCATGGCTGCACTGCTCACTGCCAAAGCAAACCCCTTCCTGCCGTAGGGAGAGCGCAGGGGCACCAGCCTGCAGGTTGGGTAGGAGGAGGAAGTCTTGCTGGGAAGGGAAGTTTACAACATTCAGCCCTGCAGGCCATCAGTCCTCCTTTCCCATGCAAAACAGAGGGGATCTTTAGACTGCCTGCACACAGCTCTCCATGAAGAGTTGCCCGGCGCTGCTCTCCAATGGCTGCAGGGAAGAACCAGAGAATCACAGAACGCCCCAAGTTGGAAGGGACCCACAAGGATCTGTAGGTGGCCAGAGAGACCCCAGCCCCACCAGCACGCTGACAGCAGGTCTGACAGTTTCTGCTCCTTTCACACGCCTGAGCAGCCCTTGCAAACCTGCTCTCTGGGCATCTGCAGGGAGCATGTCTAAATGTTGTCTCTTTCAGCTGACTTCCTCTCAGCATATCTCTGTTGACACACCACCAGCAAAGATCCTTAGGGAGCACATCAGACAGCTTAGCTTGCTCCACCAGGGACATCCGAGACTCCAGCTCCACAGCAGCTGTCGTGGGACACAGGAGCAATGCACGGAGCTGCTGCACCGCCCAGGAAAATCGCCTGCCACACTGTGTGCAATCGGAGAGGGCAGAGTCCAAGTTACAGGCAAGGCAAAGCTGTGATTGTTGGCTCATCAGCTGTGATAAAGATAGGAAGGCACAAAATTTTGTGCAGCACAAAGGAAATCCTTCAGAGTTTTAGCAAAATTCCCTTTCCAGATCATTCCTGGGCTGCGGGCATTGTCTCATGGCCGACGGCTGATTCCAGCAGCTCATTTCTCACAGGCGGACGTCTCACTGACTTGGCCTGGCCCAGATTCGAAGTGGCAGCCTGATGAGGAGGACTGATGGCCACAGCTCGCCCCCAGCCACCCAGCATGCCCACAGCCCCACCGACATGCATTTGACAGCGTGCTGAAAGCTGCTCTCTGAAGCAGCGTGCACTTGTTAATATTCCTTTAGCACCGTTTCGGGAGCCTCGTGCACTAGCTCAGGTGTTAATCAGTTCTATTTTCTTTCAAAAGCAGTGAACACATCTGGCATAATGGGAGATCTCTGGGACCAGCTTGCAGATGCCCGGGGAGGACCCCCAGCTGTGATGCTGACAGAAGCATGGGGCAGAGAATGGGGACAGCGGTGCCAGCGGCTCTGGAGGCTCAGCAGGGCTGGCGCCCACTGTCTGCATCCTTGGGAGCGCTGGTGAGGACAGCCCTGCCAGCACACACCAGCCTCCTTCCCCTGCTCTCCCTACCAGCCACACTGCTTTACGTGCGGGACCCAGCAGTGGCAGGATTGCGGGCATCTTGTCTTTAAGAAGTGGTGAAGCTTTTCTCTGCATCCACTCCAGTGCTCTTTGTATCAGTGCCACTTTATTAATGTCATGAGGTTTTTAACTGCACCAGCACTGCTGCTGCTGTAGCTCTGAAGATTGACAGCTGCACCAGGTCGTACTGGGGCTTGGGGAAGAAGGAATATACCAAATTCTCATTTTCTCAGGCTCGCGTGGGAACTGGGAAGATGGCAGTGCATCAGCGGAGGACGATGGGAACAGTGTGTTTGATGTGCTCAGTACCATCCAAGGCTCACATCCAGAGGGAAACCGTCAGCTTCATGCAGGGCAGCAGCAGGCAACGGCTCGGCAGCTCCGTGGAGATCCTCTCACACATGTAAGCCCTTCAGCTGGCTGCAGGAAGGAGGAAGGAGCTGGAACAACGCTTCCGCCGCTTCACTCATTCACTTGGAATTAGCAGCAGTCACTGAGCTGGAAACCTGGGATGTGAGCCTTCCTCGGCCCAATGCCACAGCTAAAGCAACAGCAGGCCCTTCCTTTTTTTGACCACAAGAAAATGGAAACTCATGATGAGATTTTCGTACTGCCCAGGTGTGTGGTGCTCTGGGCACCCAGCCAGGACAACCACGGACATCTGTAAGGGAAGGAACCGCAGCCCCTCTTGCCCAGCTACCTCACTGGAAAGCCTCTCCTTAAATACCAGCAGCCTGTGCTGGCCTCCTTATACAAAACACTGAAAGTTTTTTTTCCCCCCCCCCCCCCCATGCATTACCTTTACCACTGAATGTTATCTTAGCGAAAGGTGCCAACATGACAGCTCTGGAAGCACAGTCCTTTTGTCCCTGCACAGATGCATCAAGCTACTGTCTCACCTCTGCTGAGCTAAACCCCAGTGAGTTCATCCCAAATCCTGCTGATCAGTCCATCAAATGGAACCTTTCTGTGAGATGTCTGTCCCTGGGACCTGCAGTGAGGTGCCCTACAAGCCAAAGGCATCATCGTACCTCTCCTCCATGTTGTTTTCTCCTCCAGGCTCAAGTGCACAGCTCAGAGCACAGGGAACCACATGAAGAGCCTTGGCCCGAACAACACAAGCATTATGGCTAGTAAATTTGGTCTGTACAGTGAACATATTAGAATAACTGGCAATGGAAAACCCAAATTCCTGTGATTTTGTCCCAGAACATTGCTCAGCTTAGAGCCATTATTGTAGGCCACGATCTCCATTATTTGAGGCTAGTTTTCTTTCAGGGGGAATTGTTCTGAACAAGGCAGAATAGCAGCAGAGCAATTCCAAAATAGCCACCCTTACAATCATCCCCAGGGAGACCAGTCTGGAGGCAGATTGGAAAGGCCAGCCTTGAACTCTGCCCTGCTGAAAGCCAACACCAAAGGAATGAACACATTCTCTTGCACAGGCAAGAAGTTCTGAGCCTTCTCCTGATCACAGCCAGGATTCCCAGGATCAATGGATACGCTCACAATCCAGGCACACTTGGGACCAGCTTACCATGGGGCCAAAGATGCTTCTGCTGAAAGGCTTACTGAGAACTCTGCTCCATTTTGTAGTGCAGATAAGACCTTTATCAGGATGGGAGACAAACTGTGACAATTCACAATTTGCCCCTTTGCTTTAGGAGCTGGTTTGTGCCTGTGGAGAGAACTCCCCACCAGGATTCAGCATGCACAGCATCAGCTGCTACTCTGGCTCGTGTTATCTTAAAAGGACCCTTGTCACATCCCTAGTGATTCTGTGTAACAGGGACCACATATTTTAAAGCTACATCAATTCTGCATTAAGATTACAGGGTGAAACCTCTTCCTGCTAGAGGAATGTACATGTTACAGTTCTTGTATCAGCTCTGATTTGCTCAAATTGCTCAAACATCACAGATTTAGGCTGTATTTAATAACCCAGCATGTAACTGAAAATTACATATTCACAACCTGAAAAGTTAATCTTATTACAAGCTACCACTTTGATATTACCTGACATTGTGCTAACAGACTTTACATTTCAAGCAGCAGCTAAAACATAACTTATTGAATACATTGATAACCAACCGGTGTATTTGTTCAGTTAAGCTCTACAAAGGTTGGCTATGGAAACCTGACACAGAGAAGGTTGCAAAGAGGATTTAATATGGGCATTCTGACCACACTTCTCTGCCTCACTCTTCACATGAAGGAGAAAAAACTGAGCTCCCAAATCAATAGCTATCATTTTGCAATTTTGGAGGAACAAGAGGAAAACTTCCCTGCAATGCCTTCCTGCTGAACAAGCCATTTTTGCACACGCAAATGTCAGACTCATGGCACAGCAGAGGCTGCACTTGGAGCATTACAGAACATTCTCATTTCTTGAGAGCCCTGAAGGATGCTTACCCAAATGGCTCTGGAGGTGCCATTTTCTACCACTGGCAAATTCTGTGCAGCTCCTCTCACAGTACGAAATAGATGTGTCTTGGTAGTACTGTGTGAAGTAGCCAGGGCTACATACTTGTGCAATAATCGGCTTATAGATCTTCCAAAGGACTAACAAAGAGGCCACTTAGGAAAGACATCAGACAGATCTCTGTGAGGAAGGCTCTAGAAACCTCCAGAGTCTCCAACAACGTTCTCCTGACCAGCCTGGAGATGAACCAAGGCAGGGCAGACAAACCTAAGTCGCCACATCACACACAAATACCCTGAGAGGAACAGGACTCAGCACCTAGCTGCAAGCAGCAGGGAAGGGGGGACCAGCACAGAGAGCAGAGGCACAGACACAGCACATGGCAGACCTGGGCTGTCCGTGGCAGCATCCTCTCCCACGATGCCATTGCAGTACATGGCGTGCAGCTCGATCTCCGCAGCAGGGAAGCCTTGGTCACACAGTGGGCATGGAACGTGGTCAGCAGCCGTGTCGCTGCCCTCAGAGAGAGCACTGCCATCTCCACCAGCCTACAGAAGGGAAAAAGACAGAGGGAAAAGAGACAGCTGTGTTTCTTTTCCTTTTTTTTTTTTTTTTTTTTTTTTTGGTAACTGCAGAGCTGGAGCTGCTCACCTTTCCATAAACTCATTTTTTCTTGGAAAGTTTTATTTTCTCTTCTTCATATACAGGTCAGAAATAAGACCACTGCCTGAGTAAACTGCTGCTAATACCTAATTCTTCTTTCAAAGGCAGTGTGTCCTGCTGAATCACGGTGACACCTCCCTGCACAGCCGTGCACACCACTTAAGGCAAACAGCACCTACACTACTGCTGAAAAATGGCAAGGCTTCCATTAATCAGGAAAGCTCAGAAGCGAAACTGATGGGAAATTCATGGGGCAAAGCGGGAGTTCAACACCTGACTTGCGCTCATCAGTTCCTGGACATGATCCACACTACAGGGGCTGCGCTGTCTGGGAACAGTCCTCTGGGATGAAAGGAAGCTGCAGGGTCTCAGATCCCGGGGTGTTCCTCCACCTCCTCCAGAGGACACTGCTGGAGCAATCAGAGGGGAAACAGAGCACAGAGAAGGGCAGCCCATGTCACACAACGCTGCTAACAATGGCATTCTGCCAGGGCAAAATGTCACCACTCGTGTTTGTTCGCTGGGTACCACTCTCACTTACCAGCACTGTCTTTTTGCATTGGTTACACAGCTGCAAAGGTGCTCTGCTACACACCCACAGAGACACAGACTGCTCCCTACGCTGTGCATGTTTCCAAGACACAGCAGACTGCTGCCATATCACTCACAATTAGAACTCTGCCTCATCAGGCTTGCTACAAAATCTCTTCCTATTTAAGAAAGAAACATTTTTCCCCCCATTAAAATAAATATTTCAGTATTAACCATGTAGAAGAAACCTGAAGGGAAATAATAAAGGAGAGCTCGTTGTTCTTGGGGCTAAGCAGAGACATGCAGCCACTATGCAGTAAAACTGCTGCCCGCATCCCTTCAGCGGTGTAATTTCAGGGAAGCAGCAACCAGGGCCAGCCAAGATGCTCGGTGCTGCTGGAGCACACTGTCACACATAACACTGCTTTGGCAAAGGAGGGTCTGATCCTGAGCATCCATCCTCATTTTTATGTCCCAAAGGGAAGGACGGGGCTTTGTTGACTCAGAGGAGTGGTGCAAGGGTCTCACACTGAGAGTCAAGTCAGAAAACTCATTTCTCCCCAACGCTGTTTGACAGGCTATGGGACTGACCCCAAAAACCACGCACTCATTTCCAGGGAGACTCAGCACCAGATTTCTACGGAGGAGTTGCCATCAGAATCCCTCCAGCCAAACGCAAGCTGTTGCAGCACATCACTCGCAGCATTAGCGTTTGTACCCTGCTCTCACTTCTCAGTGTCACTACATCCTGTGAAGTCCTCACCGCGGCGCGTTACAAAGAGGAGTCATAAAAAGCAGGATGTGTCAACTATGAATGATCAGATCAAACCTGCGTTATTCTGGTCTGACAACGCAGCAAAAAAAGTGATGGGAAAAGCAGCAGACGCTGCTCCTGCTAGCTGCCATTTTTAAATCAGTCTGAGGAGATCAGTGATTCCACACACCCTGCCCACCTACGTTCGGTGGTAAATCACTAATTTTAAATGGAAATGCAACGTTCTGTAACACAGGACACCAGAGCCCCAAATCCGCGTGTACAAAACCTTGTGGTGACAGCCTGGAAAACCTGGACTGCAGAGCCTCTCCTCTTTAGCAGAGAAAATTGCCCATAGGACACAGTGCTTGCAGCCAGCAGCCAGCAACCAGCCAAGAGCGATGCTGGAGGCTCAGCTCAGGAACAAGGCTCCTGTGCCCTGGCTCAGCAGCTGTGACAAAGAGCTCCGTCCCCACGGTCCAATGCTTGCTTCACGCTAACTGCTGATCCATGCGATGGCTGCTTCCCTGCAAGGCTGCAGGCCCAGGGCTGGTACCTGCTGCCAACGGCCACACCGTGACAATCCCTGGGAAGCGCCGTGCTGCTCGCCTCCTGCCCAGCAGCTGTCCAGGTGAAGGTGTAAGACCCAGGGGCAATCTCTGCAGAGCAGCAGGGACAGGTTAATGCCCTGCCGCAGCCAAATGGGTCACGACTGTGCCCTGGGGGCTGAGGATCTGTGCACAGGACTGCTGCAGTCTCTAATTGACTGAGCAGTGCTCGGAGATACCTGCAGAATGAAAGGCACACGAGAGCAGAACCTGGTTTATTAAGAGGCCTGTGACAATGAGACACGGGAGCTGCAGATGCACTGTACAAGCTGCAGGTTTCCAGAGTGAGCTTTCCACAAATGAATCCTCTTGTCAAGAGCTGTATGATTCTGTATTCATGTACCCTGCCAGAGGAGTACTTGGCAACCCCTTTGATATCACTCTCTAAATTAATAGACAAACGGAGTTTTATCAAAAGCAGGAACTGAAGTCAGATGTCGCTACAGTGACAGCTGCAAGGCAATTGCTGCACAGGTGTGACAACACAGGGAAAGCAGCCACACAACAGCGCACATCTGGATTGGGAGGTAAGAGAATGGCCCTGCCGCTGGCTTACTGCTGCTGGGAGCTATCACTGCATATAAATCAGGACTCTGGGGCTCAGCTCATTCTCACTGGACTGTAAACCACCAGCAACCCTCAACACCTCTTTGTTGTCTTTATCCCAACCTCTTGGAGAGAGTCTTTAGACGACAATGTCACACAGAGGACTGTAACAGGGCAAAATGTGCCATAATATGGGTGGCTGAGATTTACTGGGACCCCTCTCACGGCTCCTGGGATCCCTCTGCAATCTTGACCCCCTCAGCACTACTCTTCCGACCCTAGACAAGCAACAGTGCTGCTGTTCCCAGCGACAACGTCCTTCAGCACAGCAGTTGGTGCAGCATACAAGAACAAACTGGAATTTATAACAACTCTCCAGCTACAAGGCTGAAAGGCTCCAGATGCAGCTGAGCACAGCCCCTAGCCAAAGGGATCAGAACTATGAAGCAGCAGAGGAAGTGGGAAGTGTTTACAAGGATGCCACCCAAATCCATGCACCCGGCTACCAGGGGGAAGTGCTAGCACAGCCCAGCTGAAGAAAGCACCACTGGAAACAGAACGCTTCCCCTGCTCCAGGCTCTTTACCTGCATGGGTGCATCTTTGCTGACCGAGGGAAGCTCTTCCCTCTCCGGCTCAATGCTTTCCGATGGACTCGGCTGGGTCTCTGCAGAAAGACAGCTCCATGTCAGCACAGGTTTGCAGCCCCCAAACCTTCTTCTCATTTGTTGTTGCAACTTAGGCATTTCACAGCTTCAAAATATTCTTTAGACTTCTCACAAATGTTATCAGACAACGTGCAACAACACAGTTGGATGAGGGGTTAAGAGTCACAGCATAACGGTGTGAGGACAAAGCCACTGCAGCTTTGCAGCTTCATGGGGAGTGAGACCAGGCACAGGGAAAGCACGTGGGATGCTTGCTGGGATAGAGACAATGCAAGAACAGCACACGGCTCTATCTGAGAAGCAAGGCAAACAGAGCTCCCATCCTGCAGTCTTCAGACCTCCATGTTTTCCTTAGCAACAAAACATGCCTCCAAGCACGGCTGCTATGACCTCCACACAGCTGCTCATCAGAAGGAGCAGGCTCTTCGTGAGCTCCTTCTCCTAAAGCACTGAACTGGAAAATCTCAAACATGATAGGAGAGCTCAAGGAGGGAAAAAAAGATTTGGCCCCACACAGGTTTAATTAATTCACGACAGAAATTATTTCAACTGTCATGCTTTACATATATTGACAGTGAAAAACGTGACAATTTATTGATAGCATTGCAGAGAGCACACCTGGCACTTGGGAATCTCTTGTGCCTATCCAGCAGCCAGCATGTAGCCACCCCTGTGCACAGAACTGGGATGCTGCCTTAGTGGAAAAGGGTCCAAAACCAGGGGATCTTACCTGGGTAATTCCAGCCCGGAATGCTGGAAAGGAAATTTTGTTTGATTCGAACAACTTGAAAGTTCTCCCTTTTTCCCTGAATTTTATAAGTGTAAAATTTTCAGTTCAAAACTCAGAACATTCCCAAGTGCCTCTCACCTGGGCAAACAGAGATCTCTTCTTCTGCAGAGTTTTCTCTGGCAATGTCTGGGCTCCTCTTACTGCCAAGCGGGGTCAACGTGCAGATGCTGTTCAAAACAGGAATGTAATATAAATCTCCCATCCATCAGAGTGACAGCACACACCTGCCTGCCTTGCACAGCTCACACAGCTCTGTCATTTGCAGGTGGTCATTATTTGATAGCCAGAAACGATCAAAATAACAGAGAAGAATACTGGTATGAAATGCTGCTTAACCAAACCACTAGAAGAACTTTTTTGGCTTAGAGAGGTCCTTGATAAGAAGACATAAAGGATCAACAGTGAGAATACCTGCTCACAGCTGCAGGACCTTCCTGACTCTTTCTGCTCTTAGCTCTGGGGGCTGTGCAGGTATCAGCACTGGGCTGTCTGACCCTCTGAGGAAGGGAATTCTTAGGGGGAAAGGCACAGAGACGCAGCACAACACTGGGCTTCCCTGCAGCAAAGCTGCACCAGCACGGCAGTTCCCTGCAGCATGCTGTCCCTCTCCCTTTAACTTCTCCACTGTTTCTTTCCCACCAGCACAACACAATGTCTTTCTGGAGCAGGCAGGCATTGCTGAGCGAGTCTGGCACCCATGCTGACACTCTCAGCATTTTGTATGGCTTCCTGATTAGTCTGATCAAGTATGCAAGAGCACACTTTAAAAACATGAATCCCCATCCTGACAAACAGAAGATTTATTAAGCTCAACCACAGGCCTCAGAGAGGAGAGAACAGCCACCGCTGATTTATGATAAATAACAAAATTCTGATAGGAAATCACAAGTGGCTTTTCTCTCTAAATAAAGCATCTCAGAGCATTTGTTATGAATCCAGGCTGAGCGTGTTTTACTCTGTGTCTAACATCAGGGCTCACTTCAAAAGGACTCACACAACACAACTTGCTATGACATTTATGAAATGGGCTGATCAATTTGAAGTCAAACCGCATTTCTTGCTACACCAACTATCCCCAGTAACAAAGCCTATAATCATTTATTAAAGCCCCAATCTACCATGCTCTGCACACAGCACTGAACAATCAGGCCAAATGGCCTACAGGAAGCAGAGGGTTTCCTACTCTGCAGATTGATACCAACTATTTGGCCAATAATGCCAGATCTAAGGGAAGATGACCGTTCTGAAATTATGAAACCCAGCAAATAAAAGAACCATAAGACCATCTACCCTCTCCTGCAAATTACTCCTTGTATCCTCTCCCACTCGACCTTCCTCTCTCACAGCCTTCGCTGCTGTGCTGCATCCCACAAGAAGGAAGGGGAAAAAAAAAAAGGCTAGACTTAAATGTGAGGAAAATCATGTTGACTTGTCCCACACCTGTCATCTGCTGAAGTGGCTTTTCTGGAGCACTGCACTCTATCTTTGGCTGATAGGCAGTGCCGTCTGGCTTCCTCCTCCCTGCTTTCCTCTTCAGCAGTACAGCAAGAATATAAAAATACACACAGAATCCAGTAAACCATTCACTGTGCTGCATATGTGCCTTCAGACAGCCCACGTGACTGCACTGCTCTAACTCACCTTTAGCTCATCTACCCGTCTCTCCAGCTTTACTGTACCATGTCAAATCAGCTGCAGAGGGTAAGGATCAAGTCCTCTTACTTGTACAGTAAGATCTCGCTTGTACAAGGATGCACTTGCACGTTTTATACAGTAAAAACAGTAAGTGATCTCTTCTCCCCAGCTGTGCCTCTCCTCTCTCACACAGAGCTCCAGAGCCGTGTAGTTGCAGGGATGTAAGAGCAGCAGCTGTAGCAGCCCTTTCAGCGAGCCCATGCTTCAAGTTGCTCCAGGAGAAAGGATGGACCCACATCTACAGAGCGAGCCCACAGACCCTATGTGCCAAATTACCCTTCCTCACCTCTGTGCAGTTTGCATGGGCTCCCCATCTCCACGCACACCCTCTGTGGACGGCACCTGGGAGGCCTGAAAAGGAAAATTCTGATATTATACAAAGCAATGCACACAGCTAACGGGGCTGGACAGGCTCTGCTGGGTCACCAAGTTCTGTCTGTGGCATGGGTTTTCTTCCAGAAATAGTAAGAATCTATCCTGAACTAGTCAGCTTTTGACTCCATTCCTCCCTTCACTCTGCAATAACACGTGGCAGACGTGCTCTGGAAGCCTGTGTCCATCCATTCCCAGGCCAACCCTGTCCATCACCTCCCAGCCCCTGCTGCTCCCCGTGTCTGAAGTTGGCAGCAATCACAGCCCTTCTACACCTCCATTTGTGCTGAGCTACACGACCCAGGGCTTTGTGTCCTCCAGCAGCCCTCAACTGCTGCAGCTTAAAATCTATTTGCCTGAGTTTGGGTGACCTGATCAACACATACAGCTGATGTTTGACCACCAGAAGTACTTTTCTGAAATTCGTGCAGATAAGATCTGCTGTATTTTTCTTGGCTTGGAAATCAGCTGTCCTATCAAAGAGAGGGAACAGATTAACCTGCACAATCTACAGCCTGTAAAGCCACGTGCATTTCATCCCATTTTTCATTTACCTCTATGACTCCACTTATTCTTTCCTTCAAAATTTGTTCAAAAGCCTTGTGCACTGCTGAGGTCAGGCTAGCACGCCAGTCATTACCCACATCCCTTTATTCTCCTTCAGTGTACATATTACACTTGCCATTCTCTAATCAGATGGAATTACAACACTTTATTAGCAGCCCATGCTGTCAGGCCTGTGATTTCTCATGCCATTTCTCAAAGAAATCCAAAGGATTTTTCTCCCCCTTCCTCTCAGAGCCTGATTACTGCCATAGATTTCAACTTCCATCAGCTCCAGTCCCAAAACAGAGCTTCTTGCCAGATTTCCCTCTGTTTTATCTACATTGTTCTTATTTCTTCACAGCCTAACTCATCATTAACATAAAACACCAACAGCTCCTCCTTTATTTTTATTTATTTATCTGCTGAACTGCAGATATCTTAAAAATGCCTCTGCCTTGATCACAACACTGCGTCACGCGGCTGCTTTGCGTGGTACGTATGTTTTAAGGTATGGCACGAATTCAGGCCGCCAGATTCTAACTCTACAGAACTGGGTCATTTTCCTCTGAATCTGTCAAAAGACCAAGAGGCCCCTGACCTTATTTGAAAAGCTATGAAGGAACGTGTGCTTGGCTCTGGGACTGGTAGGGCTGCTTCCCGGAGATGGGACCTTCCAGCAATGACCTGTGCTGTGCAGAGCTGGCTCGGTGGCAGGCGCTCACTGCAGCTCTTCTGCATCCTCATTCCTCTGGTATGAGGCACAGGGCTTTCCAAGGGCAGCTGGGAGCTCCCACGGATGCCTCCAGCTCCCGCACACCCCAAAACCTCGCACTGTCCCCCCTGCAAAGCAAACCGTGGTGGCACTGGAGGGTCCCCAGCATCTCTTGCAGCAGGGGTCAGTGCTGCCCTGTGTCCCTGCTTTGTCACTGCTGGTGGAATTGGATTTGATAGAGGGAAAAAAATGGAGGCGAGGCGCAAGCAAACATCAAACATATCGATCTTGCAAGTAAATCACCTGCACTGGCCTCAGCATGTGACTGTGCAGAGAGGAGAAGGGAGAAGGGAGCAGCCTCGCAGGCTCGGCCTGATAAGGCAGATGAAAGGGTATTTAGAAATTATTTTCTCCCAAGTAAATAAAAAGCTGGGAAATTTGGGGCTCGGGCTGCTATTTCAAAGCTCACTCCTCCTCTTGGTTTTTCACCTTACAAATACCAGGAAGACCAAATCTGCATACACTGAGAGCTCTCTGAGAGAGCTCTTGTGGTCAGGATGAGTACATTACGAGTTCCCACTCAGCACCACTAAAACCTATTTTCTCCCCAAGAATTAATTAGGCATTAGCACTAAATAGATCGTAACAAAAAAATAAATATATATATACCCCACAGTTTACACTAGCGATTCAAAATTCGTGCCCCCCACCAGCTGCTGCTGCTTCTTGAGGGCTTTGGTGCACACGTGCACAGAGCTGCAGGCACCCCGACCTTCCAGAGAAAAAGGAAAAGACATGGATGAAAAAAAGCAGTTCATCTTAAGGGCTTTTTATCTATCCAAAAGAAACAGAGGAGGGCACAAGTCGGCTTCTTTCCTCTGCAGGTCACCTCTAAGGCTTGCTTCAATCCGTATCTGCTAAGCCTCAGCCAAAACACTGTCATGGAAAGTCACTTTTCAGCACAGACTGCTCTGCACTTTTTCTGCAACCAGAAAATGCAGACATGACGTTTTTCTTAAGTGTTCAATATTACAAGACAGAATATAAATATCACAAAACAAGTTAAGTATCTTTCTAACACCAGGGTAAATGATCAAATACACTTGAAAACAGGAACAACAGAGTCGAGGCTTCAGTCATAGAGAAGATAAAGTTATACAATGATCCGGGAGTGAAGTCATTATGAAAAATGAGGGTTGGAAAAGGCTGACACAAACCTAAAATACAGCAGTAATAAATACTTCATCTGACTTGCAATCTGTTTAAACTTAGCAGTGACAGAAAGCTGCCTTCCGCTCCAACGAGAGCCCTGACGGAGACAGAGGCTGACACCTAGCGTCTAGCAGCCCCAACAAGCAGGCGTGGGGACAAGGTGCCCGGCCACGGTGACAAGGACAGCGAGCAGTGCTGCTGTGACACAGCACCCTGGGCAGGCAGCACACACGTGCAGCACGGCACAGCCAGCATCCCCCAGCTGCAGCCAGCTGCAGGACCACGAGGGGAAAGAGCACCTGCAGGGTGAAGGCACGCGGCCGCAAATGGACACGTGGATGGAAAAGGGAAGGCTGCACTGCAAGGACAAAAGCCACAAAGGCACAGAAAGCTCTCCATACGGCCGCAGGTCCCTAACTGGCTTACTGGAGCTGTCGGTGGCACATGCTGTCTCTGAGCTCACTCTTCTGATGCCCTGCCAGGCTACACCCCTCGGAGAGGGAAGTGTCAGCTGGAAGTCTTTATCTCAGTGGTGCAGCGATGGACAGCTGCCAGGCTGCATGATGGCCCGACCAATGCGTGCTGCCAATCAGCCTGCAGCCTTCTCCTCTCTCTCTCTCTCTCTCACAGTAAGCTGCATGGTTAGGGAGGAAGCCTCTAAATGTAGAAGGAGTACTTATCAGCAGTGCTGGCTTTGCAGAAGGGACTGAACCCTAAAATGGAGGGAAGACATGGCTGCTCCAGGGCTGCTCAGCAGAGCTCTTACCTGGCAGTAGCTCGTGGTTGGTTCATCATCACAAGTAGAGTTCTTCTCCTCTTCCACATCGTGCCCCGGACTTTCTGCCTCCCTCTTCTTTGAAGGGAGGAGCCAGGTGATGCTCTCACACTCCTTCTGAGTGCCTGGATCTCCATCTTCTGTGCCATCAGCAACCCCATTCTCTCTGCTTATCTGCTCTCCTTTCTCGAGCTCACTTTGGCTTAAGGACGAACTGGGCACAATTGGGTTACCGAACTCCTTCTTATGCAATAGCTGCCTCTGAGCCTGCTTCAAGCTTTTCTGGTAAACCTCCAGCTGACACAAGATGACACTGGTGTACTGGTTGGGGTCCACTCCTTTGGGGCAGAATGGGATTCCCCAGTAATAGTGCACCGTGTCTCTCACCTCCTCCTTGTGCTTCTCCTCTGCCACGTTCAGCATGCAAAGCTCAGAAGAGTCGGACACCTCGTTTTGCTCTGCTTGCTCTGTGGTAACACAGACCGTGGCAGCACGCCTGGATTTTTGAGTGTGCTTAGTACCTGCCCCAGAACCACTCATCCTGGGGCTGCCACCCTGCTCTGTGGTACAGCTCTTCAAGAGCTGGGCTGAGCTCCCAGCACTGGCTTCTCCCGCAGAATGGCCAGAGCTGGGCAGGGGCTGCTCTTGTGGTTCGTGGTCTGCTGCTTTGGAAGGGCCGGAGGAGCCTGTGAACAGTCTGCGAGGTGTCAGCCGCCAGGAACCTGAAGGAACCCTGCCAAAGGTGGGACTCAGAGAGATGAGGTCCTCTCTCAGGGTGCTGGGTAACATGTTACTAGAATCATTCTTAGGTGGCGAGGAAGACTTTTCACTTGACCTTGTCAGAGGCTGGCTCTTCCCCGGAGACACGATTATGCTGGATACTAGTGAGCTTTCAACGATTTCCTGGCTTAACCTCCTCAACACTACCAGGGGGCTCCGGGCAACATCCATCTGTCCACTCCCATCAGCTCTGCTGCTCTGTGAGTGGGAGCTGCCCTTGGAGCGAGGGGTGTCAGGGCAAGGCGCCAGGCCTCCCAGGATCCCACAGCCCTCTTGCTCAGCGGGGTGGCTTTGGCCTTGTGCGTCCAGCACTTCCACAGACAACTGCGGGGTTGCACTGGAGGAATCCAAGGGCTGACAGCTCTGAAAGACAAGAGGTTGATTCTCTGAGAGGTGCGTTCCAGCAGCAGAGCACAGCAAGAACAGACTGCACAAACCTGTGCGCTGCATCCCCCGGTCAAATCAGCTACCCCAAAACAGGAGACTTCATGTGCCACTCACTAGGAATGGCACAGAACATCTACACTGTGACTGCTCTGCTTCCAGCTCCTGCTGGAAACTGCAAGGCATCCAGTAAAGTCTTCTTTTGTGCAGCGTGGCAAAGCAAACACAGAAAGAGATGCTGCTGAAGAACCGCAGTAAGCCTCTTCACAGAAGCACACTTACATTTAGGCTCTCAGCAATGGCCTTCCTCAAGAGTTCCTCTTCCTCCTCTTCCTGACAGTTCACTTGTCTGGCTTCTTGCTCACTCATTTTCAGGGCCAGTGCAAACTGTTCCTCTTCAGTCATCTCTACAGTAGGAAAAAAAGGATAAAGTCACGTCACAGCCGTAGGTGTATGCAAACACCCTACATTTATCCAACATCTCTGTGGAGAGACGTCCACAGAGTCCCACCTCCCCAGGAGGAATGCAGAGCAAAGCAGATAAACCTCAGCTTTCCTGGAAAGGCATCAGCAACAATAAACAGAACAAGTAACACAAGTCAGGAATCCCAGTTAAGGTTTCTATAGCAGTCTGAACTCTGACTCCTTGGGTATATTAAGGGAATGCCTTACCACCTTCACCAAACAACATATTCTAGAGCTGCAGAATGCGTGAGAAAGGACGGAGAATAAAGATTGCCAAACCGTGCTCATTTTACACAGGATAGAGTCGGGAGTAAGGCAGGATAAAGAGAACATCCTCCTTAATGCACTTTATTTCCAGGCAAATAGCATGTCTCGCTGTCTTCTGACACAAAGATGTCTGCAGTGCCACAGGGGACCTAACCAAGAGCAAAAGAGCCTCACGCTGCTCACCCCAAGCCGCAGGTGGAAAGCTCCATGGAGGATAATGTTACTTGCTCGGCGGTTACGAAGGATCTTTTACATGCATACATCCCCCTTCTGCTCACATCATTCCTCCACTGCATCACTGAGTCAGTCATGCATGGGAAACAGGTTTCCTACAGTCGTAACTGCTATTCCAGCAGAAAATTTCTTCCCGAAATATTCCTCATTCAGGGCAAACCAGAAGCTGAGACTGGCTCTTTTGAAACAAAGTGGCTACTTACTTTGGAAAACACTTATTTACTTAGATTCAATCCAACGCTTTCACTACGCTCAAAATATACGATGCCTGCAGAACAGAGCGCAGCGTGGAAAACAACTCAACAGCACTCTCAGGAGCTGAAAAATGCATCTTCACACTCACAGCAGACTGACAGATCTCCTTCAAAACCCACTCCCTCCTTCAGGCAGAATCCTGCACAGCCATCTCACACACAAACCGAGAGCCTCGCTCTCCGATGGGCTCCAAGAGCTCTAAAACATGCACCTTGCAGCATTTTTTGGCTGCTCTGATTCCCAGCCGTTAGATTTCCTCGCATGTCCTACTAAAGCAGCACTTAGGTTTGGACCCGTAATTTCTCTTTAATAATTTCTTGAAGAATTAAGGCAGCGGTTGAGGCGAAGGCAGACAACAGCACACACAGGGCTCGTGGGGATCTTTTGTCCTTGGACAAAGTCACTCTGCAGCGTTCCAGCCAGCAGGGACCAGGGAAAAACACGCTTGCTTTAAGGCAGGCACACAACAGCCCAGGGTACGAGAAGGCTCCTGTCCCCACGGCAGCTCTTCACAATACCAACACCTCCCAAGCATTCAGCCAGTGGTGACTTGCTTCCTGCCCAAACCATCACGGCAATTAGGCCAGACCCCGCTCGTTCTGACATGTGGAAGGGAACTGGTGCACGTGATCGTTCCCACAACACGAGACTTCCCACGTGCTTAAATTAAAACGGGGGCCTAAGTGTTCTCCCGTTCGGGCTATCAACAGCCATGAAGCTCAGTGTAAAGAAACATTTTTTGGCGAGTTACTACTGTACATTTTGTTTTCCTCTCCCTCCCTGGCACAGCAATTTCCCCTCTGGGGACAGGGAACATGCCAGACAAATGCTGCCTCTGGCACAGAAACCAGCGACAAACAAAACGCACTTGGTTCACGTTCCAATTGAGTAGGTGCTCTGGGGACGGGGAATGCTCGAGTTGAATTCCACCTGGCGTGCTGGTGGCTACAGAAAGGCTGCCAGAGAGCCAACGTGCTCCTCGTCCCACAGCCTGGGGCAGGACTGCGTGCCACGGCCCGGCATCTCCGTGTTCTACCAACTGGAGGTGGGTTACGGGGTCATCATGGCAGCAGATCAGAGATTCAGAGCACTGAGGCCTCTGCATGGGCACATGCAAGTACTGCTTTGGGAGTAAGCAGCAGGGGCTTGGAGCTTACTTGGTTCCCAGCGGCTGCTGGAGGCCACTGGAGGCCAATGGAGGCTGCTGGAGGCCACTGGACGCTGTCCTAGGGAGGGAGAGTCAGGGGGAGGCTGTTTTTAAGACATCACAGCCCTAAACAAATTAAAGCATTTCAGAGCCTTTTTAAATGCTAATACGGCAATTTGCTAAGCGATTTATGTTCCATTTTGACATTTGCAAAGTGAATTAGATGCAAAACCCCGCTAGTTGTAGCTCTAACACTTACTAATAAGAGATTTACTCAAAAATAATGGAAATGCAGGATCTCGGTATTTCCACAGACCCGAAGTGCAATTACAGTAAAAACATGGAAGCGTGCTTTAAAGCAGCGACGACAGCCGGCAGGGCAGAGGGAGCCTTCCTCACGTCTTTGTACTCCCATTGATCCCGTCGGGATGAAACGTCACAGCTAGATGTTAGTTATGGCTTTAGGTTACAACGAATAAAACCACAACAAAGCGAAGATGGGAGGACACGCTTCATAACCAGAGCCTGCAAATATCTGCAATTTTCCAGTTTGGAGGAAAAAGTATTTTCTCTACCCAGAAGCACCAAATGGTTACAAAAGACCGATTCGCCTCACACCTCAAAGGATTCACTTAAAGACCCCGAGAAAAAATAATTACTATTTCGAATCTTAATTTGCCTAGAGGCAAACACCAAAAGCCCAATTACAGCTTGCGATGAAGGATGGAAGCGAGCCAGCACCGCACGCACGCCGCCTCCCTGTGCTGCACCGAAGCCTTGCCCCGCATTGGCACCCACCAAGGAAAGAGGAAGACCTACATCAAGAGTTCCAGCACCCAGAAATGCAGCACAAGTCCCCTGTGACACAGGGGCAGAGCTTTGCGTGCTGCTTCTTTGAGGAGAAAGCGGAAGAAAAGAGCTCAGCCCTTCTCCACCCCTCCTGTGCCAGGCTCGCACAGCGGAAGTCAGCTCCCACCAAGAGCCAGGCTGCTCCGTGCCATGGCCTCAGGCCTCTATTAAAAACAATTTAATTCGCACAAGCCCTCTGAGGGCTGATGAGCCCAACTGCTGCCGCTCGCAGAGCACCGGCAGGCTCCATTTTGCTCAGCAATTGCTCTGTGCTTCGCAGCAGACAACCTCTCTCATTTTAAAGCGGTCTGAATTTAACTTGTCTGAGTTGAACACGCCGGCTGGACGGCTGCCCTGCAGAGCACAGCAACGTGAGCCCATGGGCTGGGGCAGAGCAGCAGCCTGCCTTGCACGGTGGCTGTAACCAACAGTGCCATGCAGACAGCTGACAGCACTCCTTCTGCTTGTGTACCCACAGCACTGACAACCAGTCTGTGAGAGATGCTAGCAGGAACATTCCAGCCCATTCCCTCTAGAGTCTGTTTATAAACCCGTTGTCCATGAATGCATTTAATCCCTCATTAAAGCTGTTGATGCTGACCTCTCTACAACCTCCCGTGACAAGCAGTTCCAGGAGATCACTGCACGCTGTGTGAAGCATTACTTGCCTTCACCCATTTTAAACCTCTCTCCTGCTATTTCCACCGAGTGCACCCTGGCTGCCAGAGCTGGTAAACAACAGCTCTGCGCTCAGCTTCTGCACTGCTTCCTGATGCAGACTGATCCCACACTGCAGCCATTCGCTCTCTGTGCTGGGGGGTCCCAGGCCCACGTCTCCACTCTGTGATGACCCAAGCAGCTTCTCCCTGGATGTCCTCTCCTCGTCCTTGAGAAGCAGAGGGCAGAACTGCATACAGCACTGTTGATGTGGGTGCACCAATGCTTTATGTAACAGCAAAGTGACGTACAATAAACTGCTTGTTCTTCACACCCCTGCCACAATGGCCAGCATGGCTGGACGCCCCATGCTACAATTTACAGCAGAAGGGTCTGAACGGGAAAGTCCAAATGTGTCTGAAGGGGCTTTTGGATCAGGTTTGGATCAGAACTGATCTCAAAGCCTGGTGAGGTACAGACAATCTTGAACAGTTATTTTGGAAGCACTGGGGTGCAAGCAAGCAACATTCAGAAGGCAGATTCTACCCTTAAGACGGGAAGCTGTGTGTCCCAAGCCCCTTCAAAGCCTTTCTGCGAGGGAAATAATCTCAAACACAAACAGCAGAAGCTGCTCAGCACCAGTCTGCTTCCCCAGCCCCATGCTCAAGACCTACGTGCAATTTTTCTTTTAGCAGCAAACTTCGTTCTATCCAGCTGCTGTTTTGCTCTTTTCGTTTGCAATCCGCTGTCTTCTTTTGACTCCTGCTGTAACGGAAAAAAAATATGGTGAGCACATCCAATATGTAGGAAATACTACCAGCTCCCTCCCCCCACCACTCTGACACAAACACTGGTTCAAGAACAAGCCGCTATTTGTGTGAAATTTGAATTTCAAACATAATTCAAGCACATTCTGTAACTATTAAAAGCAGTGTGATGAGCATAATGAGCAAAAAAGAGTTACAGACTGACATAAACAGAGAAGTAGGAGAGACAATAGACTTCGTGCCAGTCACCACCAAGCTCTGCACCTGCTGCCTATGATTTTAGAGAGAATGTGTTTGGCCTCGCCAAAACTTCAGCATTCACAAGCACTCAAAACGGAGAAACAAAACCTTTCTGTGAGTGAACACCTCATACCTGTGAGCCAGGGCTGTCTGCTGCCATTCAGCTCCCAGTGCTCAGCCCACCAGTATTCAGCCCAAATGACTGTTGGTGGCCAAAAACAGAATCCCAGCCATTTCTGGGGACCCCCCAAATGCATCCCGAGGGCAGAAGCCAGCTGCATTTAGTTCTGGTACCATTCTGTCATCACAGCGCCCTGAGAACTGCCACGATTGTGTCATTTTTGAAGCTTGAATACTTCAGAAATCTGCAGTCAAGCGGCCTCCAGCAACATCACCCATGAGAACAACTCCAGCCCATGCTGCTTTAAGCATGCTGACTGCAACAAGAATGGTCACAGGCTTAATTGGCACACATTTATGCAAGTTGCTGTCCTAACAGCTTAAGTGAGGGCGTACACATCACCGAAGGCTGGCCCTGGACCCTTTCCAATTTGTCTCTCTAAATCAGGTAGGATTAGAATCAAACACAGCATTTTAGGCAGACACCCACGCCTGGCCAGGAAGGGACTTCGCACAACTCCGCCTGCAGCCTCATTTGGGTGATGCTGTCCGTGAGACCTACAGCAAATTGCCCCACACTTCTGCCTCACGCCACCTTTGGGGCTTCATAGTGGGGCAGTGCTTTCCTGCAAAGGGAGGCTCTGCTCGTTTCCCAATATCAGCAGCTCTTTCTGCCCACGTTTTGTAACCTGTGGAGTCCTTCGGATCAAACCTCAGCACTGAGTTTTGTTCAGATGTCTTCAGCTTCAGCTCTATCTGTAGATTTTATTAATGTATATACATCACTTGCTCCTTCTCGCAGATCATTAATGAGGGTGTTAAAACACTCACAGCCCTCGTATTGATCCCCCCGGCCTCAGCTTTACATCTCCCCAGAACAAGCCTCTCTCCTCTTCATCACCAGCCTTTGCTGACAGTTCTTTAGCAGGATTTCAATCCAGGAACGTTACCATCCAGACAAAATTGAATTATTTATCCAAGTAAGGTTTTGCAAGATGTGCCATTAAGTGGTTTCCTGAAATCCTAATACATCATGGCTTTCATGTCCCCTAATACCTGCTTCACTCCTCACTCCACCGACTTCAGAGCCCGCTTACAGTAAGACAGCAGCACACTCCCGCTCATGTTAAAGGTGTTTCTTCAGGCTCCTTCCAGTCCTCAGCCAAGCTTGGGTTTTGTTCTCCATTTCTGAGGTGTCCCTGTGGGCAGCTCACCCCTCAGGAAGTGGGATCACAGCAAGGAGCGCATGCTGGAGGAAGAAAAGCAAAAGCTTTCCTCCTCTCCCTCCACTTGTCTAATGGTGCTAAACTGATGCTGCAAATTCTGGGGCAATGTAATCCTCGCAGGCTCTGCCAATCCCCAGCTCTCCTCTCCAGGCATCAATCTTCCCTCATCACTCTTGCTCTTGCCGGAAGGTCAACCTGACTCTCATCTGCAGCTCTCTTGCAGGGCACTGACGTGATTTACGAGCACACCAAACTCACCACTGGTCAGTGCACATTTACAGCACGCACTGCAGGGCAGCGCTGGGCTCGGGCACCTCCCGAGCTGTTGGGGTCACGGTGTGCCCACGTCCTGGGCGTCCCCAGTACGTGCTTCTGTTCCCTGCACTGGGACCTGAGCAACGCTGGCATCTGCAGCAGTGGCAGGAGCAAAATGATTGCAGGACACGTGTTGTACCAACCTCATACATCTGAGCGAGATGTTTAAATTGCTCAGCAGCGTTCTACTGAACGGCCACGGCAAACTGCTGAAGCAAATCCAATTAATCCTGATGGGCCAAAACATACACACACACACGCACCTCAATTCCAAGAATTCTTCAATCTTTTTTATTTTTAAAACCAGAAAATAGAACGTGCCTTTTAATTAGGATTTATGGGTGTTTGTACCTCTGCTGGGAGAGAGCCCCACAGGCCCCGCAGCGCTCTGCATAAACGTGGGCATGGATGCTAGGAAATGAAGGGGCCAAGGAATCACAGGAAGACAACAGGGCTTGCTCCTCCTGACCCAACCTTTTAATGCTCATCTGTCTACAAGGATAATAGGAACTCAGGGGGCCACTCAACCAACTGCCTCTCTAATAAGACCGCTAGTCCAAAAATAATCTTAATCAATTAAAATATTCCCAGACTGCCACCAATACTCTTAGTTACAAGGTCATCCCCGACACACAACTTCCAGGGGAAACTAATTATTACAGCTGAGGTGAGGTAGGAGCCGCACACCTCTGCTCAGTGCCAGCCTGCAGAGCGCCTCTCCCTCACCGTCAATTTAAAGTGTAATGGCCAGAAGGAATCCAAATTCTCTTTCTACACGTCAGGCTCCGCGGTCTAATTTATGACGCTCTCTTATGAGCAATTTCACTGTCAGCATTGTACACAGATCAAGGAAAAAATGGGTTTCCAAAGCTCCCCACACACTTGGTGGATGGCAGCTGCTATTCTTCTCCCTTGTTTTTTAACCTGCTTGGTTTCAACAGACAGCAGGAAGTCAAATTCCCATTTTAAGATGCTTTTGCACAGGCTTAGGAGAACCCAGCTCCACCAGCAGAAACAGACACAGCTCTGCTTGCTTCTAAAAGCCCATAAATGGAAGAGACTCGCCAGACTCCCACATCCTGCTCCCTTGAATCCACATCATCAACCACAGAAATCAGCTTCTATTGACTCAGGGAAGGAAAGGCTACAGGAGAAGCAGAATACAGAGTGAAAAGGTCTGCTTCATTTTGCTGCTCAATAGCAGTTGGGACCATCTAACAATAGGGCACAGCCAAATGCCGTGCATCCTACATGGGAAATACGCAGATGAAAACCAGACTCATTTATTTTTAAAAGCTAATTAGACGTTGGAAGTGCCATGTTTGGTTCTAGCCAAGGCTGCTGCTGAAATTAATATCACACCCTACTTTATTAGTCTCTGACTTCAGTTCAGAATCTGTTTTGGTTCTGCTCTGTCTTTCAGCTCATTAGAACAAACCTGCTGGAAGCCGAGCGTGGAACAAGGAGACACGAGCAGCCTCCTGCCAGATGTGGTTTCTGACACACAGCGGGAGGCCGGGGAAGAAAAGAGGGCTTTTCAGTGACCAGCTAGTCCAGGCAGTGCCAAACACTGCTCGCCCTCTATCTCCCAAAAACATCATCTGACCCAGAACATCAATAAATGCCAGTATTTCCTCAGACTCTGAGCATCTTCAAGCAGGAACACTCAGACAGAGGGATGTTCAGTGCCTGTGGGGAGGCAGGCACTGGATGCCATGCAGAACGAGCCGGCACTGTCACATTCCCCAAAGGCTGCAGAGCTGATGGATGGCAGATCTGGCAGAAAGAGCCTATGAGACTTCAAGTGAATGCTACGAGTGCAAGCAAAGCTCACAAAGGATCCATCCGGAAGAAATGGTTTAAGCCACCTTTACACGAGCCCCCTGCGAGGTTCCACAGTGGATCAGCAGGATTTTAGCATCTGCAGATCCACTGACTGGATCTGCACAGTGACTGGGCCTCTGGCTACGCTCTGCACTTGTCCCTGCCCCTCCGGCTGGGTGACAACCACATTTCAGCAAACCCCAGGGGAACCAACAACCCAGCTGGGGGGGTTATGGGGCAAAAGGGACTTGCCATGCTCAGAGAAAGCTCTGTTGGGCACTGCTAGGAATGCTGTGTGCTTGGGTGCAAGTGAACGACCCGTCTTTTGGCACCCAGTGCTCCATAGGATTTGACAGTCAGGGGAGACAGGAATGACTTTGTTCACTTGCCATGTCTGTGCTCTCAGAGAAGCAGTCTGCACACAAAGGAGATCATCTCCTCTTGTTTCCACAAAGCCAGAGAGGCTGTTCCTAATTTGCCTGGCCCTTAAAAAAAAAAAAAAAAGAGTTCCCTGAGTCCAGGATTATACATAATAGAGATCAAAAAGCCTCGTGTCCAGAAAAATTCCTTCTGATGCAGCTCTGCAGATGCCACAGCACAGACATGAGCAAAGAAAGAAAATTTGGCAAAATAACATGGATGAGCTTGATAATCCAGCATGACTGAAAAATTCCTGGGAGAGGCAGTCTGCCAAAGATCATCAAAAGTGAGAAGCTGGAGGCTTTCCAGGTGCAGCTGCTACAAGATCTGCTGGTCTGGAAGCAGAACTAGGGACTTGTTCCATACGTACCTGCCAAGAGACTGCCAAGGAAGAAAGCCACTGAATCAATGATGCCCAAATTGTCCTTGCAGTTTTTGATTCATAAGGAACCATGTCCTAACAGATGCAAGATTAATTGAGAATGTATTGTTCTCTAAAATTGCTATTGATCTGAGTTTCCCACACCTCTTCTCAAGCACATAACAAGGCCTTGCTAGAGCAAGAACAACAGCTACAGGGTCTGAAACTGAAATCCAGCTTGACGTGCACTGAAGAGCTGTGACAGTGACACGAAACAGACAGGATTTTTTCTTTTGAGATCCCATGCAAATCGAATTTTTGGGTGGTTCTGCAGAAAACGACGCAGCAAGGAACTGTGGCACAGGATCTGGGAGCTGATGACTCACAGAAGGAAAGAGACTGAACCGAATAAATCCACTCACTCAACCGACTGAGCTGTTGTCACTTAAACAGAACCTAATTGGCTCCTTAACGGCCTCTCTGAGCATATCCTTTTCTGTAATATGACCGATTATGCCATCAGAATTTATTGTTTATAGACAAACTTACAGAACAGTCAGGGAGCCTAACCTTTTTATGGATGTGCTTTAAGAGACGTTTGTTTCCTCTTTTTCAGATATGTGCACATTGAGATGAATAATTGTAGACAATAACAGGTCCTGATCTTTAATGTACTGCAGCATCTCTTACAGCTGCTGATTTCTCTTTTTCCTTATAGGTTTCACAATAAAGGCCAGTGATGCAGCATACATCTGAAGTTAACTTAGCATATTGCAGAGCTAAGGGTTTAACCCCAATGAACTATTACTGCCATATGTTCCATTTCTTTCAGGGAATTTCCCAATGGGAAAGAACTCAGACAATGCGAAGAAAAAACATCCAATATCATTTGCCCTACAGCTTTTTACTGTTTATTTCTAGTGCTTTTCCCCTCCTCACATGATAATCGCCTTATTGTAGGGACTCATGCTCCAGATGTGGGAACGAAAAGGACTTGATTTAAGATCTACAGCTTGAGAGAGAACTGAAATGCTTTTGAAAATGGTGGAATTACAAAAAGCAGCTTAGGATCCCAAATCACTGGCAAGACAGAGCAAAGCCTCAACAGTCAGACATTAAAAAAAACGACTCTAATAATTTTCTCTCGTGTACCTCAAGCTGAGGACAGATTCTCAGAGCTCTGGGTTTTTTCCAGCTGAGAGTTCTTGCACGTATCCCAGCATCAGTGTAACAGGCACAAACATCTCAGTGTTGCAGGGTGAGGCTCCTGTTAATGAGATGATGCCAGGGACCGGACCTGAGCTTTTGTGCCATCCCTGCTGCACGGCTCACCTTCACAGCCTACGGCAACGGGTTAAAATTCAGACTTCTGTAATTCAGGATCAGTTTACCAGACACCAGCTGTGCCTGAGCTACTCGAAGCTTGTGTTCTGAATCATTCTCTTATCTATTTGTAGATAATACAGAATCACGTTTCTACGGTTTAGCTGGAATCAATCAAATAAAAATTATGGAAAAAAAAGATTTGTAAAGGGATTGAAGAAAGGTTACTTTTAAATTACGTTTCAAATTCTGTTCTGAGAGGATTTGGTTATCAAATCCCAGACTCATAACTCACCCTCACCAAGCACACCATTCATTTCCCAGTCAAATAGGATTGGATTCATCTCACAGAACAGAAGAGGAATGGCACGGCATGCCCCAGCACATCTCACGGGTGCTCCTGCAGCAGCAGGGCCTGGCACGGGCTGAGCACTGACCTCTCCATCGCTGTCAGAGATAACAATAAAGGCATCCACAAAGCTGCGCTTCTTCTTGGCGCTGGCTGCACGCCTCTTCTCTTCCTCCTCTTCCTCTCCATCCTGACCTCGAGAGTCAGGGCCCTCCGCGGTCTTCCTTCTCCTTGGCATCCCTGAAACAGAGGGAAAGACTAAAAGCCATTTGTTTCCCTCTCACTTAGATTTCCCCTAATAAACAGCCCTTTCTTTTACTATTTTTAGGCAAAATACAGCAGCCATTAGAACCTTATTACAAAGTGTGGTACATTTAGCAGCACTGGGAGCCACACGTGCTTGTCACCACTCGTTTAGTTAAGAATACTTTATTAGAGCTGATTGCAAAAAGGGTTTCAGGGGAACAGCAACAGACAAGCACCTCGCCCAGAGCCCTTGCTCCAACAGAACGCGGCTTTCCTCTTCGCTTCAACCATTAATGCTCCCCAGCAAGCTGCCCAAAGCACTGCTCCCAACACTACCCCAGGCTTCCCACCCCCACACAGCCCTGGTGCAGAACACATTTGGACAGGGAGTCGAATCAAGCCAAGGGGACCGGGAGGAGCGGACCAGGATGAGGACAAGAGCAAGTAAAGCAACAACGGCATTCAGTGCTTCCTGAGCTGGAAACCAGGGAGCCCTACGAGGTGGCTGAGCACCATCAGCTCTGGTTTTACTGGAAGGAAGCGTGCAGGGCAGTGAGCAAGGAGCCCCTCGTCACACACAGACAGCGCAGAGCTGGAAATGCAGCCCGGGTTGGCCGGCTCCCAGACCAACGTCCTTCCCAGGATCCCTCTGCCTTCCTTCGCGAGCACTGAAATAGCTCAACTGTGCTGCCGAGGTCTAAAATAAGAGGCAGACAAGATGCGACAAAAGACCCTGCGTTACACAATGCAGAGCCAAACCCTCTTCTGTAGCATCGCAGAACTGCAAACAGCCGCTACACGTGGAAACACTGCGAGCAAGAAGTTCAGAGCCACACTGGCACTACAGAACAGGGGCGCACTCCCCTCCCTACAGCCAGGCAGCGCTCATCCAGGTGGGACAAAGAGAAGGACATGTGCTGCCTCTGGATTGCTGCAGCGTGCAGAGCTTCCCGCGCCTGTGTGCTCTGCACACATTGGTGTGGAGACAAAAGATGATGATCCGGTGAGCAAGGATTTGCACTGAAGACTTGCTGAGCCTCTAAAGACAGAATATTGTACGAACTGCACGCACAGCTCCAGAAGCAGCTGCAATCATCACTGCAGTCCCAAAACGCTTGTCTGTTTGGGATGGGAAAGTTAAAACAAGGGCTGCTCTATAGAGAAGCTCTTGCAAAACAAAGCTGTTCTGCTCCAGCTGAGCTGAACCCTGGCTGTTGTTGCAATACTGTGGTCACACTTTCTCTGTTTTTCATCTTTTGCTCCAGGTGCTCTCTTTGTCCTCTGCCCATTCGGCTTCAGGGAACCGCACCCCATTATCAGCAGAACACACAGGGGTTTCAGCAGGCTGCAGCCTGCTGCTGAGCCTGGGCACAGTCACTGCTTTTGGAGTCGTCAGTGGCAAAACGCAGCACACAGCAACAAGGAACTGCAAAGCGTTTCTGTTAAAATCCGTGCTGGTATCACCAGCTTCCCCCTCCACTCAATGCACTGTGCTAAATAAGAGATCACCGAGCAGTATCAGCTGGAGTTACGATGAGTCACCTACCTCCAACATTTAAAAAGGGGGAAAGAAAAAGATGTAAAAGATGTAACCACACAACTCCCACAACGCTGCTGAAAATGAAGGGAGTTGTGGCAAAGAGCCTCTCTGTGAATGTAACTAAGGGAACAAGAGAAGGAGAGATCACTTGTAGCTGTGCGAGGCTGTGAGTAGGAGAGCAGTAACGGCTTTTATTAGCCCAGCTGATAGAGCTGAAGAAAACAAGCAGCAGAGCACACCCCCAGGTAAGGAAGCGTGCATAGAAGCTGCATTTTGCTTTCAGCACTTCTGCAAAGGACGCTGCTGGTATCCACTGCGCCAGTGTCTGCTTTCAGACAGTGAAAGAAAGCCTGAATTGGCCAAACCTACCTCTGCCCGTTGTCTCCCAGACTCGTTTTCCAATTTTTCACTTTTTATGACTGTAAGAGAATTTCTTCGCAAACGCTCTGGCAGCAAAGGTGACCCCCTGACAAGGGGCCTCGCACATGCCACGCTTCCACAGGCACATTTTTAGGGATATCCTTGAAGATCCCCAACTTGTGATTATTTGTCATTTTCCCTCTCATCTATCATTTTGATGAATCAGAAAGCAATTACCGACAGAATAATTCTAAATCTTGACACTGCAGCTCCAGACCTGCCAAGCTGTGACAGCTTGAAAAATGCTTGAAAACAGAGCCAAAAATGAATGACTCTCATCCCCGGATGAGTTTTGGAGCCGCTCGAGACTCAGGCTGGCGTGCGGTAAACAACCCCTCCTGCTCACACGGAGGGCCGTGGTGCCGCCAGGCACACAGCAGCGCCGTGCACGCAGCTCAGCGCCACGCAGCGCTCCCCGCAGCCACCGGCCCGGACCCCCCACGTTGGGAGCAGCTGATGCTCTGCGACGTGACGGCCTGCAGCACCCCGGGGGGACAGGAGGCTCTCGCAGGGCTCGTCCACAGAATGGCTCTTTGCAGGAAGGGCCGCGGAGGCTGAGGGCACGGCTGAGCCCTGCGCGCTGCTCAGCTCCTCCAAACAAGCCTGTTACAGCTCCGCCTCCTGCAGAAGTGCCCCCCGCTCCCCCAGCGCCCACCGGAGGCACCCTGTGCCCCGACACGGCTGCTCAGCCATCCTCCCGACCCGCGGCCACACGGATAGGGTCGGGGCTCCTCCAAAAGCGTCACCCGGCGAGCTCGCAGCGGCGTGTCGGAACGGGAGTGGCCGCCGCTGGGCGAAACGAGGGGACGGGCACAGATGCGGCTGCTGCAGGGGAACAGGGCCGAGGCGGCCCCGCGAGGGGCAGGGGGGCAGGATCCAACCCGGCGGTACCGCAGGGGACGGGGATGTGCGGTCCGGACCTGAGCCCCGGGCCACAAGCAGGCTGCGCGGGCCGCCGCGGGACACAGCGGTGGGGCGATGCCGGAACCCCGGACCCGCTCGGTACCGCCGCCAGCCGGGCCCCGCCGGCGCCGCCCGGGATCGAGGCGGCTCCGGGCTCACCCCGAGGGAAGGGAGCGGCGCCGGGCTCCCCTCGCGGAGAGGCGGCGGCCCAGCTCCCGACGAGCCCCCGGGCGGGGCAGCGGCCCGCAGCACTGCGGGAGGCCCCGCGGGACGCCGCCGGCCCGGGACCTGCCGGAACCCCTCGCGCAGCCCCCGATCTGCCGCGCGGCCACGGAACCGCCGCCTCCCACCACCCCCGTGCCGCCCCGAGCCGCGCTCAGCGGGTCTCTTACCCGCACTCAAGTTACGGAGGAGGCCTCATTGCCCTCACTCAACATGGCGGCAGCGGCGTCGCGTCACGTGGGAAGCGGGAGGGCGGGGCGGGGCGAGGCGGGCGGTGCCATGTCGCGTGCGGGCGGCGGCGGGGCCCGAAAGCAGTGTGGGGAGCAGGAAGGAACGGCGCCGCCTCCTTCGCTCGGAGCCTCTCGAGGCCAGCCGGGATGCCGTATTTTATGTCCCGGTCGAGTTCACACGGGGAAAAATACAGCGGTGTCGCATCACTGAATTGCGGTCTTCTAGCCTCAAATGAAAAAAACATCCAACGTCCGTCTAACGCCACGCCTCTCCGCGTGCAGCGATCACGGCGACAAATGGCGCCGCCGCGCAGCCGGGGACGAAGCGAGCCCGCCTCCCCGCTGCCCTTAACCAACATGGCTGCCACCGCCTCGCCCCGCCAGCACGTGCCGCGTGCGAAGCTCCCGCGGGGAGCCGTCCGGCCCCGCCCGCCGTCGCTAGGCAACCGCGGCTCTCGCGAGAGCGACGGGGGCGGCCAAGATGGCGGACGGGGCGGGTAGCAACGGGGACGCCGCGGCGCTGCCGGTGGGCAGGGAGGCAGGTGAGCGGCCCGGGGCGGGGGAGCGGCCCGGCGGGCGGCCCCGGGGGGGCGGCCGGGCAGAGTCGGAGCGGTTCGGGCTGAGCGCGGCGTGTGTTGGCAGTGGAGCGGCTGATCCGGGAGAACGGGCACATCTTCACCGAGGCGCAGTGCAAGGTGTGCAGCGCGCTGCTCATCTCCGAGTCGCAGCGCCTGGCGCATTACCAGGTGAGCGCCGCGCCGGGCGGGGCTGCGGGCGGCCGGGCAGGGCCGGGTAACGCTGTCACTGCCCGCAGAGCAAGAAGCACGCCAACAAGGTGCGGAGGTACCTCTCCATCCACGGCGAGGAGGAGCTGGCGGCCGGGAAGAAGATGAAGCTGGACGCCAAGGTGAGACGAGGGCCGGGCCTGAGGGGTCGTGGGCTGAGCTGCGCGCTGCCGGGCTGCCCTTCTGTTCCCTTGTGCTCTTAGAAATAAGCCGTGTCGGTGAGTACGGCTCCTGTCGCCTCGCCCTCCTAAAGAACTGCACGTTGCCTCCTACTGAAAGGCCCTCTGAGAAGAGCAGGGGAGCAGCAAGCTGCCGGGAATATCGCTGTGTGCGACATCTCATTTCACTGGCAGCGCAGTGCAGGGTGCACGGTTTGCTGGATTTTGTTTTGCACTTCTTAAGTTTTATTTCTTGGTCAGTAAGGAGAACACGCCTGCCAGCTGTCTGCTCCGTGACTCATTTGGGAAACAGATTCTACTTCTGCGATTGCTTCAGCTTTGGTCCCTAACCCTCATAGGTTTGTTGTATGGATGGAGGGGAGGATGAAGGAGGTTGCCTTCATGCAGTGTGAGGCCTAACAGTGACTGCTGCTGCCTGCCCAGCTGGCGTTGCTGATGGCCCAGCTGATAGCAGCACTTGTGCTCCTTAGCTCACACCTTAGAGAGCAGGGGTCAGATCGGCTCCTGCTGCCGTGCAGTTAGCCTCGTGCTGGGTCCATGCAGGCCCTGACATCTCCTCTACCTGAAGTGTTTCACTGAGACTGAGAAAAACAGAATCTGAAGCAGGAACACTGTCTGGTGAAGGAGAGGATGATGCTGTGCCTTGGAAGTCCCATTCAGTCAAACAACAACAACTTCAACTTCACATTCAGTATCTCTGAAGATTTAGTTTCTTGAATGCCTTAGAATTCCTCCTAGTAACAAACTTTCCAACCTCAGCCACTCTGTGGTTCTGTGCACACAGGAGAGCAAGCAGGAAGGCACCAACGGGGAGGACAGGAACAAATGTTGTCCCATCTGTAACATGACCTTTTCTTCTCCTGCTGTGGCCACGTCTCACTACCTGGGGAAGACTCATGCCAAGAATGTGAAGCAGCAGTCCCCTAAAGTGGAAGGTAAGTCTGTCTGCAGTGCCTTTACGTTGTGAAGCTCAAACTAGGAAAATGCTGCATGTAATGTTTTTCCATTGAGAGGTGCCATTGGACATGTCATCCTTTTTGTGTGTGTGTGGTCTTGCCTTGTGTGTGTGGTCCCTGAAACACGGAAAACCAGCAGTGTGCCTCCAGATCCACAGCCTTTATCAGCAGCGTGCTTGGTAGAATGGCTTGGCTAAATGTTCCTGCATGCAAGGAATGGGACAGAGCCCGTTGTTGTTCATGCAGCTGTAGAAGCATCTGTCACAGGATGTGATGCTCGCTTAAAGCTTACAGGGACCAAAGCGACTGGTGAAATGCCCATGAGATGAATTGGTCAGGCCTGCTCAGCTACAGGGCTGTAGCTTCAGTGGTTGAGGGACTTCTAAACTGCAAACAGCTGGAAGCTGGGAGAGTGACACTGGGAAGTGTGAGTGTGTGCTCGTCCTGACCTCGTGCTTTGCCTCTGCTGTCTGCCCTGGCCCATTCTCAAGGCAGGCCTGACTGTGAGAAGCCTTCAGGAAGGCGTACGTGGTCTGGTGTCTGCCACATCCCCATGAGAGGAGCCTGCAGGTGTGAGCTCCTCTCTGGGGTTTGTGCCCCTGCTGGGAGTTGCTTTACCACGTGCCTTCCAGTTCTGGAGCAATAAGGGAGGAGACTGGAGCAACACAGGTTTGTCTGGAGGGCTAGGTTTCTTTTGGGGCTGTTTTATGGTTTTAGTTTTGGGGGGTTTTTTTTGTTTGTATTTTTGTTTGTTTGTGTAATGCATGTTTTGGGGAAATAAAACTGCCTTTTTTTTTTCTATCTAACTGACCAAGAGTTTGGATTCATCCCACAGACGTGGTGCCTCCACAGAAACATCCTGCTACCCTCCCTACCTCTACTGTATCTTCTAATGAAGAGAACAAGGACATTGCAGACCCAGACAAGTTCTGTAGCCTCTGCCATGCCACTTTCAACAACCCCCTTATGGCAAAACAACACTATGTAGGCAAGAAGCACAGAAAGCAAGAAACCAAACACAAGCTGATGGCACGCTATGGCCGAACTCCTGACGCACCGGCATCGTCCTTCCTGGGTGAGTTCTCAGCAGGCAGGCTGGTAAGGAGCTGGAGAGCAGGGTGGGAGAGCAGCAGTGTGCATCTGGCAGGTCTCTGAACGAGGGATTCTGTGCGGAGGGAGCAGGGGAGGATTGCCCTTGGTGAGGATCTTGGTGATGCCCCGTAAGACTGACCTGGTTGGTTCTGTAATTCCTTGGCAGCAGGAGAGGTTTTTTAGACTGTAGCTGCTGGTGAGGAACTTTGAGATGTGTTTTGCAACGCTGTCTCATCAAGTACGTGTCCTTTTTATTCTCTGTGCAGATAATCCAGGGATTTTGGCCAGTGCTGTTTCCAGCTAGGTGGATTGCATCCAAAATGGAAAGATAAAAGTGGCATTTGATGCTTAAAAAATGTCTGAGGGACTAGGCAAAGATGGAAGAAATAGGTTTAACTGCACCTGCTGCTTCAAAGCGCATGAAAGCCAGAGAGATTTCTCCCTGAATGCTTTCTGCCTCTGTGTGGGCACTTCATCTGATGAACTAATGCAACTCCATCCGGAGCAAGCAGGAATGTGGAAAAAATTGAGCTATTAAGGAGGAACTTTAGGCAGACAGTTAACACTCATTTGGTTTATGATCTGTTCCTTATGAGTGCTTCTGTATGATGAAAGCCCTTGCAGTCCAGTGAAAGCATTAGGAGCTCACAGTGAACTCCCTTGTTCTTTCTAGCATCCTTCTGTTGGACCAGGAAGTGTGTAGTACCCTGCTGGATGCTTCAAGTATATAATAAGCAGACAAATGATCTTAAAATCTTCTTCAAGGGCTTCTTTCTCTGTCATAAAAATGCCCGTAAGCAGAAGATTAATTATTCTAATTCTTTGCGGGCCACCTTTAGCTACTGGTAGCACTTATGAGGAATTAAACTCAATTATCCCAGTAATATTCTCTCCCACATCGTGTAGTCATGTGGGAGATGGAAAAGGTGCTTCATATCTTGTGTTGCCCATCTGCTCTTTACCTAATTAGCAGGGCCTGATCAGTGGTTCCATTTTGTTGTGACTCAGGCTGTGGAGCCCCAGCCCAGGCTGGGTGTGCAGGCAGTGCAGTTGCCACGTGATTGATGCGATTTGTGGAGAGCTTACAGAGCTGGAGTATCTCCATCCACATCTCTGTGTTGCTGAAGCTGTTCCAGGCGAGGTTACAGAGCTGTGGTGTGGTGTGGAGCTGTTCTGGTGGGACGGGCTGCACTCAGGGATGTATTTTCCTGCTCCCTTTGCCTGTCTCTATGTGCTGGCAGCCATGCTAAGCTGGCATGCCAGCATAGTTCTTCCCAGCCCAAACTTCTCGTTCTCTCTTACAAAACCGGGCTTGAAATGAGACTTACACTTTTGTCAAGGCTCTGGTCTCTGAACATACATTCCCTGTTGGGATCTGGCCCTCGGCAGATGAAGATGTGTCATTGATAGCAGAGCCAAGATGCCTTTCTGCTTAAAGCTCCTCCAGGAGCCATTCATGTGGGGTGCTGGAGTGTTCCCTAAATAACCTGTCTACCTGATTTTCAGCAGGGATATCTTGACCTCAGTTGTGAAGGGAGGTGGGTGTGAGGGCTGTGACAGCTCCTCCGGCCCTTCGCATCCGAACCCAGCCGTTCTGAGAGTTAAACGGTGCCCACTGGAGTCTGAAATCTCTGCGGGGCAGCAGCCAGATGGGGAGGCGTCTGCTGTGCCACGTGTGGTGCTTCTCACTCAGTGGTTATGCTGCTCTGCACCCCCTGAGCGAGTGCCCCCTTTCCCCTTAAGGAAGTGTTTACTTTGTGAGACTCCCAGGCAGAGCCCTTCCCCAGAGAGCTGGAATTGAGGAGCACGTAATGCTGCAGGGATGCATGCCAGCACTTTCCCATTACGGGCTGCTGTGGCCAGCTCTGCTGCTTTGCTTGCTTGTTTGCTATCCGACCCCCAGGACTCTCATTCCAGCAGGAGCTGTCCTGACGCACAAACCACTGCTCTGCCTCCTGCCACTATTGTTAGAGGCTGCTTCTTTTTGCAGTTAACTGATAGCTGGCTGTACCTGAAGGGCCTGAGGATAGAGTTTAGTATTCCCAGCTGGCACCTCAGCAGGGCTTAGCAGAGCACTGCGCTGTGGAAATTGACGTTGTGTATAATCTCCTCTGGCTGCTTTTTCTTTTTTTCTTTTTTTTCTTAATTGAAGCATCAAATGTACAGATTTACTGCCTCCCTTGATTTTTTTTTAGGAGATGTACAGATCAGGAGAAGTGGGAATTTTGGAGAAAAGTGGAGTTACAGAGGCAGTAGAACATCAGGTTTGGTGTACTAATTGCTGAGTTTTCACCTCATCTGAAAGTGTGAACTGGTTACAGGAAAGGTGTGTTTGGTTTTGTAGATAACAGACCCATGTTCTGATCGGGAAAGGTTTTCTGGCTCTTTCCCTCTTACCCAGAGGCTGACTGGTATCTGGCAGGGTATGGGATCCTGTGACCTCCCTGCCTGGTCAGGCTATTCGTGTGCTACTTGCTTTGTTTAGCAGTTATTTAACACATGAAGTGATCGATTATCTCACTTGTTTCTACCTCAGGCACCAAGTTGTTGGCTAGCTGTGCTGTGTGTGTTAACATTGATGTCTGTTTCAGCTGGGAAGGGCTATCCCTGCAACACGTGTAACATAGTACTGAACTCCATAGAGCAGTACCAAGCTCACATCAGTGGCTTCAAACACAAGAATCAGTAAGTAACGTTCTTGTTTAACTATGTCTCTAGCCTTGCTTTTCACACTGTTTTCAATATAGCTTTAATGCAGTTTTGCATGTGTATTTCAAGCTGGCCCTTGCAAACAGAACAATATTTGTGCAAGTTCGTGCTGTTTGTTCTGAAGCCAATTAACTGGTGTAGGTTTGCACCCCCTCAGCCTCTTCAGCAGCTCCCTCTGCAGACAGCTCAAGGATGCTGCTGTAGCAAAAGTGCCTTTCAACTGCTTTCATTTCTCAGAGGTTCAGGTCTGCGTGGCCCCCTGCAGTGAGCACATCCATCCTGATTCTTGTTGAACAGCACTTCTGTAAGAACCAAGATGTGAATTAAAGCAGAGTGTGATGTAGTGGAGGTCAGCTTGGCATTCTGGCCTCTCTTGGAGCTGCTTGTTCTAAAATTTGGCACGTAGTCAGCACGCTCCAGAAACCTAGAATGTATTTCTGAGCTCGCTCTCCAAACTGGTGAGTTAAACAAGATAATCCCCTGCACGTATTGGTCATCCTCTGCCAGGGAAATGATTAACATCACACGTACTTATTCTGGACAATGGCAGAGTTCAGATCTCTGATTTCAAAGCATTACGTTAAGGAGGGTTGATAACTGACCTGGGGTGCTGAGACAGCTGAGGAGCTGGTCTGTGAGTTGGAAGAAAGAGGTATTAGGAAATACTGCCTGAAGTGGTGACCAAATTTCCCAGAAAGACCAAAAGGGAAGCTGGAATCTTGCATTGCATACCTGTGGAATAGCAGCCCTGTTACACTCTTGAGTATTTGATTGGAAGGCTTATGCCATTGTCTGTCCCTTCGTGAAGGCCAGCTCTTGGAAAGCACAGCAGGATCAGTGGATGACAAACGTCTGGCCTGAATTGGTCCTGTTCTAGAAGGATAACACTGAAGGCATTCCCAACATGCATGCATAACCGCTCACTTTAAGGACATGGATGCTGTTCCAGCCAAATAACTCCCTTTCAGAAAGCTGCTTCTGGATTTTGCTGTTAAGTCGTGTTCCAGGCCAGCTTCTGCAGTCTGAAAGGAGCCAGGATACTTGCTTTGTAGTGGAAGCTCTTCACGGTCCTTGAGCTAAGCAGTAGCTAGTTCTGCCGTACTAAAGGTGTCTGTTTACACACACAGAGGGTAAGAATCCACTCAGAAGCTTTTCTGGCAAGTTGTTGACTTGTCTATAGGACTCTGCTCTGCTGGCAGCCGTGTTTTCTGGGCACTGATTGCAGCTGACAGATTTCAGAGCCATTCTGACGCTGTTTCCTTTTTTCCCTTCTTTTCCTCTTTCTCCCTCCGATGCCCAGGATGCCAGGAGCAGTGCCAGTTGTAGGACCATTCCCACCACAGCAGTATGTCCGGGAAGAAACAACTGCTCCAGGAGGCTACAGTTACTTCAGCCAAGACTTCTAGAGCAAGTTGCAGCACTGTTCTTGGAGTTGTTGACGGCCCAAGAACACGCATCCTTTGCCAGCCCACAATGGTTTCATTATCCCTCTGGATAAGCAAAGCCCTACCCTCCTGTATGCACCCGTTGAGCAGAACAGGGACTGAATCTGTCCGAAAAAAGGATCCAGCTGGAAGAGACTTGGTAGACAGCAAATACTTCACTCCCTTAGAGTAGCTTTCATTGTGTAATTGCTTCCTGTAAAGGTGGGTGCGGTGTGAGAGGAAGTGTGTATCTGGTATAAGGAGAGTCTGGCAACAGGCTGGTAACATCTACCTCCTCCCTTACCAGAGCAAATAGTGGATTCCTGCACCTGGAGGCCAGCAGCCCACGCTTAGAGGTGTGAATGGGACACCTTGTGGGTTGTTTGGCTTTTTGCAGACCTAACATAGGAAATGGCAGCGTGGCATCTCTTGTCGTGACTCCTCTGGGCAGGTTTGTGTGCAGAACTCCTTGAGGCACTGATTGCCATCAGAGCCTCTCTCAGTACTGCAGTTCAGGAGTTGTGTTGTTTGGTGTCTAACAGGTAGTCGTGATTTGTGGTGTACAGTGCTGCTGGTGGGAGCGGAGGGCTGATGGAGGAGTTCGAGCTCTTGTTTCTCCAGGCAGCTCAGCCCTCTGCTCTGAGGATTTCCACGTGGAAGGAAGAAACAGTTTAGCCTGGTTTCCTATGGAAACAGGTGTATGTGATCATTCACTGTGTGTGTCTTTACCCCTCATAACTTAAAGTAATCTCAAACTTGGCAGTGGTGGAAATCTCCAAGACCCAAATGCAATCAGCAGAGGAAGGTGAGCAGGAAGAGTCCATCTCGGGTTCTGTGAGGGTCTGTGCATAAGTGCAGTGTTTTCCCTACTGCCAGCAAATATTGATAGGGAAGGAGGAAAAAAAAACAAAAAGAGGAGGTAAATGTAGAAATAACAGAATACTGTAGTATGGCTTGGTTGAATTGTTTGCTGGCTGAAAACCTACAAGCTCTTTGGAAACCTGACTTAGCTCTTCATTAGACACTGCTTGCCCAGCCCCTCTCCTCAAAGTTCTTACACATTTGTACCATCGTGGTGATGTTCTGCCTTTCGAACGTGGAAATTAACGATGGTCTCTTTGTGCTGCTAATGTGCTGGATCTGTTGGAAGAGCCCCGAGAAGGAAGGGGGCCATCTGAGGCTGTTGTGCATTTGGGATGAGTTCTGCAGATGTTCTGCCCTTGAGCTAGGGCTGTGCCGTTCTTTGCGGGCCCACCGCAGGAGCCCTGGTGTCGGCTGGCCTCGTGCTCAGCGCCAGCGCCCCGTGATGGGCAGCCCATGGCTTTGTCCCAGCCTCAGTGCCTCCGTGGAGCTGAGAGTTGGCCAGGCTGGGCCAAGTGCCACTGTTTTCCTTCCACGGGGCAGGAGGACAGACCTGCCTGGCCGAGAGGAGCAGAGGTGATGGACGTGCTGCCTCCCACTGCTGCAGCAGCTGCTGGAGGGCAGTGTGGGGCCCTGCGCTCCCGGTGCTGCGTTCCAGGCTGAGCAGCTGCCGTCTTTGCGAGGCTGAGAGCCAGGCTGGGGGGGGCGCTTCCAAAACCCTGCGTGCGCTGGTCAGGTTAAGCAAGGAGAGGGAGTTGGTTGTTAATCTCTGCACTTGGAGTGAGTGCCTTCCCTCCCCGCTCAAGGCTGTGCGCGAGCTTTGTTTGCCTTCACCCAGCACAGGATCTGCCATCTCCCCTTAGGACAGGCTCCTGCTGGGCTGGGTTCGCCTTCCTGATGTTTTCCAGTCTTGCTGTAATGCTGAGGGCTGACCTTAGCCTCCTGCTTGAGAGGGAGTTTTGTTAAGCTAAGCAAGCTGATCAACCAGCAGAAAATTGCAGTGAAGTAAAGGAAGCATTGTGTGCCTGGTGGCACTGGATGGCCTCCAGCTCCGATCTCCACTGCTTAGCTCTCGTCTCGCTGCACCAGGGCAGGTGCCTGCTAGCCGTGCTGTGCATTGAACCAACAGGTATCCATTTCCAGCACTGCCCAGTCCAGTGTGTCGCTCCATTCTGTGTACTGACAGTTTTGCCTTCCTCTGTACATGATGTTTATGTGTCTGCTGTTTCCCTAAGGTGAAGCTCTCCAAATAGAGTGTTTATTACTACTTCTGGGTGCTGCTTCTTTACTATAGCCCTTCCTGGGTTTTTGCCATCCTTCAAAGTAAAGAAGAGGGTACAGACCCCTGTGACTTGTTTGGGAGGGGTGGGAGGCTTGTGTTGCCATCTGCTATCCCCAGGCACCCTGAGATCCAGACAGAGCCACCAAGTGCCTTCCTCTGTGCTCCACTGGCACGTCTGCATGGCCTGGGGCACACCAACGTCACCAAGGGGAAGGCAGGACAGTCTGCACACACACAGTGCTGGCGCTTCTGCAGACTGTTGTGTTGCTTGTGCTGAAAACATCCGTCACAGCCACAGGGCACTGGGCCGTTTTCTGGCTGCTGGGGAGCAGAGTGATGGTGTGCAGCCACTCCCCTGTCTGCACCGCGCCTCACTGGGGCAGGATGTGCTCCCAGCAGGGCCTAGATGGGTGCCCCCCATTGCCTAGCTGCAGGCTGTGCCCAGGCTACGTCCTGGTACCACACCGCAGCACCCAAGGGCACCCAGCAGCACGGTGCCACAGGAGCTGCGGCCTGGCGATGGGGCGGTGTGCTGGGGGAGGCAGAGCACACTGTGGCCCTTTTGTCCCACAGCGGTGCTGCCTGCCCCTGCCCGGGCCCCTGCGGGCAGCACCTGGCTGTGCCGGGGCTGCAGCTGCCGTGGCCAAGCCCCAGCGCCTTCCGTGCTGGCAGCGAGCGCAGGGCGTGGAGCCACCACGGCCACATCCCCGTGGAGGTGCCGCCATCCCCGGCTCTTTCGTTGCCAGCTCTGCAGAGCCTGCCCAGCTGAGCCCCGGCACGGCGCTGGGACCCCTCAGCTGGGGAGGAGCGCAGCCCCATCTGCAGCCCTAACCGCTGCCCTCCCTCGTGGTCCTGCTGTCTCCAGCAAGTAAATCGGGTGCAGATGTGGGGCTGGGTGCCTGCTTGCCATTAGGGTTTGGGAACACAGCGGTGGCCCAGCTCCTGCCTTGCAGCACCCTGCTGCTCCCGGGGTATCCTGCCTTTGAGCCCTGCAGCACGGCTTGCTCAGCACATGGGGTGTGCAGCATCCTGGGTGGCAGCACCCATACAGACTGTTCCTGAGCATGGCATAGCTGTCCCCAGAGGGGCTGTAGGATGCAGCTCATGCTGTGCTGCAGGACGTTCCCTGGAAAGAGCTCAGTGCCTGCTGATGAGGGCTTGGTTGAAGCTCACGTCCCTCACTCGGCAGCCCCTGTGCCAGGCCTGTGTTTTCATCTCTCCAGAGGGAACAACAACAGGTTCATGTTTGCCAAGTGGTGCCTGGTTAAACCTTAACCCGGCTGGGTTGCTCCATTGGTTCCTCCCTGTGGGAGATAAGGATCAGCAGGAATGCAGCATTCTGCTCCCTGGGCAGCAGGAACCGAGCTCCTGCCCTGAGCCCACTCTGCAGGACGAACTGTAGGGCTGGGACCTGTGTCCCACAGCCAGCTGCTCCATGCCCAGCAGCCATGCACCCACAAGGCTGGAGCAGGCACCAGTGCGGCTGACCAGCAGGCTGCAGGCTGTGGCCGGGGCAGCGAAACCAAGTGCTGAGGGCAGTGGGGCTGCACAGAGCCGGTGGGTACTCTCACATGGCTCTTGTGGCCCCGCTCGCTCGGCCTCAGCATCCCGACGCCGTGCATACAGGGTGCTGAGAGCCGGGGACCTGCATCCCAAACAACAGCCGTTCAGGAGATGCCAAGAGAAACTTCCAGGAGGAAAGAGCCCCCTGGGCTCCGCCCCCCCCAAGAGCTGCTGGCCGCGCACGCTGGCCGCAGGTGCGACCGCAGCAGGACCGGCGGCGAGCGCTGGGGCCAGGCACAAGGGGCGGCTGTGTTCCCGCAGCCCCGGCTGCCTTCCAAGAGCAATATTGTTGGCACCAGGCAGGCTCCCTGCGCCGGCAGTGCATACATGGGCCTTTCATGACGGGAGTGGGGATGATTTACTGCCTGGGGGAAGGGGCAGGGGTGGGAGGATGGAGCCCCTGCGCCCAGCCCCTCATGCGTGCCGCTGCTGCGGGGCCCCGCACACGAGTGGGGCTGTGGGTCTGGCTGGGCACAGGCAAACATTAGAGATCACCTCTCACAGAGCAGAGCTCCAGCTGCCCCATGCACCCCGTGCCCGCTTCTGAGCACCCCCACCCTGGGCAGCTCAGTGGCCATGGGAATGCGTGCTCCTCGTGGTGCCGTGGCAAAGCAAGGTTCCAGGGCAGGGCCGTGCTGTGGCACAGGGATCCGGCACTGGCACAATGCCCCCTTGTTGAGCTGCTGGCGTGGTGGTGCTATGGCGGTGCTGCCGGAGGCGGGCAGCAGGCGGTGGGCTGTGCTGCCGTGAAGGGCTTTTTGTTTGCCTTCAGTTGCTGCTATAAATCAAGCAAGGCAGCCCAAGCCCCCCGGCCCCTTGGCTGGGAGGGGAGCAGCTCCCTGCAGCCCGCACCCCACTGCCCTGTCCTGGCAAGGGACGAATTGCCGGCACGGGTCCCATGTGCCTGCCTGGCTCCATCCCCACTGCAGGAACCAGGCGGGGATATGGGGGGTCTCGATGCCCATCGCAGGCTCCCAGCACTCTTGAAGGGTTTCGTGCATCCCTCCCCAGACAGCCGCAGGGGATCTGCTGCTCCCACAACCGGGGCTCGGCTGCTGCCTCTGCCTCGCTGGGCATCTCCGTGCCCCTCGCTTTTGGTGTGGTTTGGTTTAAATCGAGCCGAACCCAACATTTTTCTGCGCTTCCGGCACTTTGCAAAGCTCTGCAGAGGCAACTGCTACTCCGTGAAATTGATGTTCTCGTCCGCTTCACGCATCGGCGGGAATGCGCCGTGCAGAACAGCTGCTGGGGGCTGCGGCGGTGGGGGCTGCGAGAGGGGAGCGGGAGCCCAGGAGGAGAGCGGCCGCGCACGGGATGCGGCACTGCTGCGCCCCGAAGTCACGGCGCCGCGGGATGGGGGTGGCAGCGGCAGCCCCGAACGGCGCAGCACCGCAGCTCCGTCGCAAAGCGGCTCCGGGAGGAGCTCCGGGGCTCGGCTCCCGGCTCCCGGCTCCCGGCTCCGTTCCCGCACGGACCGGAGAAACGGGACGCGGCCGGGACTGCTCCCGGTGCCGGGGGTCCCTCCGGGGAGAGGTGTTTATGGCGCGGATTAGGGCCGGGCCGGCCCCGCCTCGCAGCCCCGCGGTGTTTTACGACGCAGCCTTATGGGCTCCTAATGGGGGTCACGGCCACTTGATGGCCCCGGCAGCGATAACGCCGCGCTAATTGCAGCGGCGGCAATTAGCCCGCGCGCCCCGGCACGGGAACGGCGCCCGGCAACGCGCGGCGGGG